TTTCTTGACGAACTTCACCCACTAAAATATTCTAATTCCATCTAAAACAATATTTTTGGTTATCAATATCGACCGATTATTATGGACTTTTTACTTATACACATTTATTTCCACATGCACTCCATTGATTTTGGAATCTCTATTTTTCGTGAAAGAGGGCAGATTTTTATTTAAATTCGAATATAATTACAGAAATACTTAGTTAAACTCTCTTTTGCGAACATTACAAAAAATAAAATCTTTTCTCCTCAAAATTAAAGAAGTAATAACACAAAATTTTAACGTAAGATTATATGTTTGTAAATAATAGAGATCTGGAGTTATTAGGGATCAAAAATATTGAAGTTATAGGAGGAAATAATTAATTTTTTTAATATTAATTAAAATTTATGCTATTAATTTTTGAATGAAACGTCGCCAAAACCCAAATGAGACGTGAAGTGAATCTCTATTTAAGTACAGCAAACACTAATTCGAAAGTTGATTTAATTTGTTAATTTGCCTTTTAATTTTCCTCTTAAATTTGAATCAAAGCTGAACCATTGATAAATTTTTGCGTTGCTACCTCAATTTTCCTCTGATGCCTTTTATTTCCAACGACATACTTTTGCTCGACTTGCGGTCTTTGGTGAGAAACTTTGTACCTAGAGTAAAAAAGCACGCAACACGCCATCAGAAAAATCGTTCCCCTGCGATGCAATGCGGTTAAGTGTGATTGTTTGCCGCCGTCAGTCAGTCATTGAGTCGCCGGTCAAATCAATCTTTGCCGAGTTCCCCCTGCAAGAGAGAGAAAGAAAGAGAGTCACTCTGCGCGCTCTCTGTGCACATATATAATACTTTGAAGGTATATTCCTTGGCCCTAATAAAGCGGCCTAAAGAGCATTTTCATGTGATTGGTAGCCATGGCAACGAATGCATCACCAGCCAGCCTGACATCAACCCTATGCACGCAGAGTACGTATGTGTGTACCAAGCATACGTACCTTCGAAACAAATTTAAACGCAAGCTGCATTATTTGTCGACGGGGGATGCGTAAACAAAGCCATTCGCCGGAAGCCATTCGAATGCAAATTTCATCACGTCTGCAATCCAATCCCGACGTATTGAATTCTGATAGGCACTGATTTTGTTTTGAAATTTGACAAGCCCAATTGATTTAGAGTATTTCCAAAAAAAAAGGAAATGTTATACCAATATAATATTCTTTTATACAGAAAATGCAGAATGTAGGAAATATTCAATGCATTACATTTTTACCACAGCAATCAGTGATGAAATGGAAAAATATGTTCTTGAGAGAAAATATGTTGACGAAAAAGCAATGAGAGTGATCTATTATTTGAATTAATATTTCAAACTATTCACCAAAACGCAGGGTCTCAAGAAACTTAAAGAATATAGCATATAAATTATTATAAAAAAAACACAGATTTTGGTGATAATTGAATGAAAAGATTTATATTTTTGGACTAAAAAACAGGATTTCTTACTTTTCTTCTTAAATCTAATAACAACATTCCCTTAATTTTCATTATTGCCAAATGCATCTTCATGAATTTGAATTGGATTAAACTGGGTAGCGTGTAAAAAATGGATGCTTCTCTCTAAAGGATGAGCCACGCGTTTTTCGTGTTCACCGCTATTTGCATATGAACTGCATTTGTAACTCAACCATCACAGCCCCTACTCGTGGAAATAAATCTTACGTTTGCACTCCTGTTTTATTTTTATTTCCTGTAGGACGATGAAAGGGAGAAACTATTTAAAGTTGATATGTCTGTATAAAAAATGCGATTTTTTTCTTGTGTTATTCTGTTTAATAATTTTTTATCTTTTCAATCACTTTAATCTTCAAATAAAATTTATTGAGAAAAAAATGGAAATTCACAAATAAGATGACAAGTTTGTCTCGCAAAATAATATTTTTAACCAGTTTTGGATAGAAATAACTTGCATTGGAAATTGCCCTCTCCTCAACTTAAAATTTTTCAGTATTTAAAGTAAGTTTTGTTTAATCTATAAGCTCTATTGAACTCTAATAAAGAAAATTCAGCATTCTACATAATAAAATTCTCATATTTGTTAATATTCACAAAATCAATTATTTTCAATTCAATTTTAACTTTTCTACTCAAATGAAATAAATAACATATCCATAATTGAATTTTAAAGTATTTTTAAAAATAAATCAAACAGAAAACGTGTGAAACACTCGCAATACCTCAATGTCTGCCTTAAATTAATTTTTCTAAACCTTTTGAACTTCAGAATTGCAAATTTGAGCAACCGAATCATCTTTTTTTTCATTTTCAAATTTTTGTAAATGTTGTTTAGGACTTCCCTGGTTTTATCACGCCTGTATATATTTATTATGTTACCTGTTGAAATCAATCGCAGGCCGTTGAAAAGGTCTGGCAATTCCCCAGCGGCCACTAGAAACAAGCTGCAAATGAGCATTCGACCGGCAAACGCGTCGACGCCAAACGCAGCCACGTGCTATTGATTTTCACGCTGCTTTTAGGGGCGCAATAATAAAAGCTGGAATAATAATAAATAAAATGCAGGCCGTATAAATAAAAGAGTGGCCGGCCGGCCAGAGCCAGCGAGTCGGAAATCAAAGTGAGAGCGTTTTCTGCATTCGCACCCTCTCTCCACACTCATCCCTCCGGCGGCTGCGAGCAAAATAGCGACGGTGCGGACGGGGGTGTTCAACAGACAGACAGACTTGTCGGCCGCAGACACGGCCAAGAAATTGCCTCTCGAGAGCCACATAAAGAAAACCAATTAGCATCGAGAGGCGTCAAGCACTTCACATTATGGCACGGCCTATTTAATTATCCCAGCGTTCTTTGACTGCACATACAAATATGCATAAATTAAAATTAATCTAAATAAATTTATTAAGGTTGATAAATATGTAACATAAATTTCTTTCCTTTTCTTTTACACACATTTAATTAATTTATTTAATTATATTATTAAAAATAAGTAATTTAATACCAATTTTTCTTTTTTTTATTGCTTTTTTATTATTTAAAATTAAAATATTAATGTAATTATTAAAACGTGTTAAGGGCAATACTATGCGTCAATTTAAAAAAATTATACTCCTTCGAAGTACCCAGAGTTTGTTGATAATGTTAATTTTAAATTTTAGCAAATAAGCAAGTAAGGACTAGAAGTTTTAGAACGGTGACAACAAATGGGAACTCAAAATATAATGCATAATTATTTTTAGTGACAGTTGGCGCGCTAATTTCATTTAACAATCAGTAGACTTTTTTAGAAAATTTGTTTGAAAATTTGTTCTTCATTTCCATTTTTTAGAAAACCTCAAACAAAGTCTTTTTAAGTTAAGAGGACTTTCTTTGGAAGTCTAAAGAAAATATGAAAAATAATATGAAGGTACTTAAAGTTCATTGGTATTTCAATTTTCTCTCTGATAAAAAATAATTTGACAGCACTTCAAAAAAATAAAGTATGCCCTTTTAATTTATTTTTTCTAACAAATTCATTTAATTTTGAAGAAATTTGTATCATCTATTGGCAAGCAGCTAAGTAAGAATCTGTAGAAAAAAACGAGAAAATTTTCCTGATATTAAAGCAATTTGATGCAATCAAGAAATAAAATGTCTTAAAATAGTCCAAGGATATAAAAAAAAAATGGTTTTTGTGAAAAATTGAGAAAGCCATGAAGTCGCATTATTTACTTTTTTATCAGAATACACTCAAAGATCTAGTGTTGGAATAAATTTCGGAAAGATTGGAAAGAAATAAAAAAAAACTTTTTAACCAGTCGGTTCGAAGAAAAAGCCGAGTGTTTTATCAAGATTTATTTTTTTTATCAAAATAATAATAATAATTTAATAGCTTCCAAAACAATTGATTTGGAAGTTATTAAAAACCATTACAGTATTGCTCACTTTTCAATTACGAAAAAGGTAGGAAGTGAATAATTTGTGTGGTGTAAATCACGCTCGAAACTAATTAAGCGCGGCGCAAACAGAACGGCAGGGGGTGGCCTAGGTGCAGACAAATTGTCCGCCGCTGGGTCTCCAGCTGGGTCGCTCGTTGCCAGCTACATTTATCTGGATCAGTCTAATGAGTTTTTATTACAAAACTAGTCCCTCTCCTGTTGATTAAGGCGCACTCTAATTACGTGATGCCGGCCGGACACGCGGCTTTTGATGTGTATGATTAGTCGCTGCGGCCACTGGGAATCATGTCTTTTTAAAGAGAGTTTTGATTAAAAATATGGAGGAGGAGAGAGAGGTTCGTTTTTTAATGTTTGCGGTTGGAAATATGGGCTCCTGTGTACACGACACAGGACCCTTGAGAATTAGCGAGCGCAAAATTGTCCCCGGCAAATTTATTTTTAATCTAAAAATTCTAAAATAAAAATTTGTTTATATAACACACGACACATTTAGAAACAAAACGTTTTAACTTGGATATACGCATTTTTTCTAAATAAATGCATGTTTCATAATTTGAAGCAAGTATTTTGCCACTTTTAACTAAATTAAATCTATAAACAGAGAATATTAAAAATAAAAACTCTTTTGTAACATTTAATCTCTTGGAATTGGAAACACCAAAATCAACTGAAAATAAATTATAGAAGCGCAGTTGCACCAATAATTTTGCTAAGTTAATGATAAAATAATATTCCTACAAAAAATATTCATATTGTGTATTTACTCACATTTGACATAAAATTTCTGGAAAAAAAATTTCGGTTTCGCTCTGTAAAAAACATAAATTCTGTCTCAAACTTTTCTTTTACTGTTAGAGAAAATTATAAATTTATTATTTTTCTAGATTAATTGATACCAATAAGATCAATGAATGATTTTACTTGAATATTAAACACTCAAATTACCAAATTCTTAGATATTGATTAACCCATTTTTGTACAATGCAATTTTCAAATGCAAATAGAAATCAAGTGAATTGGAAATTTGACAAATAAATCAATGTTTCCTTGTTAATGTTTCAGAAACCAGCAATATGAGGAGTTTGAAATGCCCGACCAGCAGCAGTACTCCCAAATGCCGTCGGACGTGCCACCCAACCTCCGCAGCGTGCCGCCCCCAAACCTGGGCTACAACAAGGCTGAAGAGGCGACGTTCGGGCCCGGGGGCGACTTGCCAGGAACCCCCAACTCAGCCCCCGAAATAGAGAGACCACCGCTGAGGCACATCGACAAGTACATCCGGCCCGAGTGCCCTTGCCTCAGCAAACGATACACCGTGGCTGTGCTCACCTGCGTCGGTTAGAACACCAAATTATGAATTGAATAATAATAAATTAAATTCATGTCAAATTTAGGATTCATCATTTCGTTTGGAATGCGCTGCAACATGGGAATGGCCAAACTTCAGTTCGAACACAGAGTGAGTCTTGATTTTTATTTTTATTCTGAATGCAACTCTAAAGGATTATTTCGGTAGAGATTGATAAAAGTTGAAAAAGTTTATTACAGAAATAGAAGTAACAGTAATTGAATTATGACGAGATGATTTGAGTGGAAAATCAGATATTCCAATAACAATGATTAACATTGGAAAGAAAACTTTATTGAGATTACATACTCAACTTATATAATATTTATCTGTATTGGTGCAGTAAATTAAGTGTTATTGATTAATATTTTTATTGCTAATTAAAAAGCAATATTTTTTAAATTCAATTAAGATAGAAAACCCATTATAATTTTATATTTTAATTAAGTTTAAAGCAAAAAGAGAGTAGGGACAAAATTATTAACACTAAATGCTTTTTGAGGCGTTTTTTAAATGTTGTTTTTTTAATGTTTTACTTTTACAAATTGAGTTTTTGCGTGAATTCCATTAGGTTGTTTCGCCCTAAGTTGTCCGTCACCCGGTCGAGCTTTTTTAGTGCTCCTTTACTTTCTGAACGTCGTTTCCCAGTGCGGCGGCCCTTTGGCTGCTGGGGCTCCAAAAGTGTAATGGAGCGAATATCGCAGCCACTTGCCATCAGCCGAGAGAGCGCGTCACGCATTCAAAATCAACCCATGGATAGAGCTCCATTTATTTTTGCCGTCGTCTTTGCGTTCCACTTTCTTTTTTGCTCCCTCCGGCCTGTCCGTTTCCGGCGCGATCTTTTCATTTGCACCCCCGCTATTTTGACTGCGCATGGACATTTTCATTTGAAGCATTGAGAAGAAGTGAGAAGTAAAGCGAGACAATTATTATTATTGCCAAGCAGTTGCATTATGATGCATTTTCGTACTATTCATGAATAGAGTGGGTGAGTGGGAGAGAGAGAGAGAAAGAGTGCTCACTCAGACGAGAGCACTTTCGCCATTTATCAGAGTTACATGAGCCAGAAGAGAGATGATAGCAGCGACTTCTAATGCATTTTTTGAATGCTTTTTCTTTCTCTCTCCCTTCTTGGCCAAAATATAGTACGGAGAATCGCTTGTTTAAAGCGGTTAAAGCAAATTATCTTATTCTCTACAGTTTTTATAACTAATCTTCAGAAATTATTTAATTTTGTGTAAAATAAGTTAATACAAATTTGGCACTGTTTTTTCACATCAAAATGAAGTTTTGAAAGTTGATTTTCATAAGATCAGTAATTTGGAAATTAAACTTTGATTTTCAGTAACAAAAATCAATTTTGCTATTAAAGTTCTCCTCTTATTTTGAACTGAAAGTTTCAATATCTTTATATTTGATTTATTCAATATTGGATACAAAAATACAAACTAAACTTTTCCTTGTTGTCTGATAATTTTATAGGAAAAAAGCAACTCTTCTGATGGAGTTGCGCCCATCAAATGGTCTGTGGGGGTGGAGAGCGCGGTGGATTCTTCCTTTTTCTGGGGATACCTCGTCACCCAGGTCCCAGGAGGTTTCTTAGCTTCAAAATATCCTGCAAACAGGTGAGTCGGTTCCCTCTTCTCAATTTTTACACATCATCAACTCAAACCCCTCTTTGATTTCCAGAATTTTTGGCACAGCAATAGCATGTTCTTCCTTCCTCAACCTGCTGGTTCCAGGGGCCACAATGCTGCACCCGACCTTCTTAATCATGGTCAGAATTCTACAGGGACTTGTGGAGGTAAGAAAAAAAATATTTACAATTTTAAAACCCATCCTTTGATAGTTTTAATTATTTTTTATTAAATCTTACATTATATCCTTTTTCAACCCTTACGAGTGCAAATCTTTTGCTCTCAATTTTGATTTCAATTGTGAATTTTGTGTTGACTTCAAGAAAAAGAATCACTACTGTACAGGTTCTTTCATTGAGAAAACTTTTCAATATATCAAATTTGAGACTCTTATTTGCTCCCATTCTTTATTGCGTTTTCCAAGTAAAAAATATTTGCGTACATCAGCATGACAATGGAAATAAATTTTGACGCGTGTCTCTCTTTCTCCGATATCAGAGATACGAAGGAGGAAAATGAATACAAAAGAGGGGGAGCCGAAATTTTGTATATCAAAGTAGCAATAGTGTAGTGCTTCTCTCTATTTGTAAACAGGCGCGTATCTAAGCAACTGACTACATTGGCCCAGTATAAATATCAGTCAGACTCGGAGGAAAGAGAAGCACCCCCAACTTTATTTGCCAGTCTAATAGACGTTGTGTTTGAAGGAAAAGCTAGAGAGAGAGAAAGATTTATAAGATTTCCCCGTTGCTTTTTTCTATTCGCCTTCTTTGATGTCGCTCCCATTCAAAACAGAATGAATTTCGTCCCCGTTTTGTGATTTGGATCAGAATTGCTGGTCCGTGCGGCTGCCTAAGCCGCTTCTTTCACCAGCGATGCGCGCTGCTAAGCCAGCAGTTCTCAATAGACTCGCTTTCATAACCGCAGCTTTGCACCCTGGTTTATATACCAGGAAGTAAATCTCCGCTATCTCTTTGTACACCGGCCACAAAAATACGGTTTATTAAAAGCGACGTGCGCCCAGAATAAAATAAACGAACGCCTGTGAGTTTGATAGATAGGCAACCGGCTCGTCACTGATGCAGCCCAGAATGCCTAAAGAAATATATATATTTTTTTTTAAATATCACATTTTTTTTAAAGGAGAAAGTTCAGTTTTAAAGACAAATAATGGAAAATAACTTAATTATTTAATTCCCTATAAATTTTTTAGATATCTTCTCTTTTTATTGTAACAAAATAAAACTAAATATCTACAGAATTACTAAATACTTAATTTTATTTACAATTAGAATAACTGGGTTAAATTAGGATAAACTAGATCATGGCTTATAAAATGGGCAAAAAAACTAAATATTGATATGTTTAATCTTCTAAATTAAGAACATTAGTGATTGATTTTGAATTTGCTTCATATTTTTTTATTCAACCAATGTTTTTCAAACTTTTTAGTATTTTTCAAGATTCTTAGAAAATTTCCTGTTTAAAAACGTCAACATTAGATTTTTATTTTAATATATGGTATCTGGATTCTGTACGCTACGCATCATGTTTCAATTTCAATACTTCACATATTCACATTCAAATCAAAGCAAAAAAAAAACGCACACATACACATAAGAATTTCTTCCTTTTCTTCTTTGTCTCTAAAAAAGAGAACGATCCACATTTTTACTCTTGTCTGTTTATGAACGGCGATCGCTGCGTGTCTTGCGTATAATAATTGCGTCAACAATTGCGCAATACATTTAATGGACTGTGACTGGTGAATGTGAAAGCCATTAGGCAGGTAACAATGCAAAAAGCTCCTCCTTTCAAGCTCCCCTCGCTGTTGTTAACATGCATTAGCGTCATGCCGACGAAACACCGCTCTCTCCCGGTCGAGCTCTCTCTGCATTTCAAATCCTTTCTCTCCGTCGCACCGAGAGTCGTCGCGAAAACAAAGCGTCGGTTCCAGTCAATATCTCTCATTATGCAACCCGCCCAGCACTCAGCCAATCCTTTTAATCAACCCCCGTTTCAAATTTGAAAGTTGTGCCTACAGTCGCTTCACGCAGTGGAAATCCCGTTTAGGAATCCAATAAAACACATTAGCTAATGGCTGTTTGGGGGTGACGGTGAATAATTTCCCTGGCACAAAAAAAATTAGTTATAAACAAACAAAAATTAGAATCTTAATTTTAATTGATGCAAAAGAGTATTAATTCAAAAGAAAAAGTCTCTTTGAAATAAAACTAATATTTGGGGTAAGATGTGCATTATTAATTTACTATTTCTGAAATAAGTAAATTTCAATACTAAAGTTTGATTAAAATTGAAACCCATCTTTTTATAATTAAACAGAAATAAAAGAAAATACAAAAAAAGATGGGTTTTCAGGGTCTTTCAGTTCTTAGTTCTTAATCTACTTTTTTCTTTGTAAATTAATTTAAAATAAAAAAATGGATTGCTTGCAGGGCGTGACATATCCAGCATGCCACGGTATTTGGAGGTTTTGGGCGCCTCCCTTGGAGCGCTCCAGACTCGCAACCCTCGCCTTTTGTGGTTCTTACGCAGGTGTAGTCTTGGGCATGCCTTTGTCAGGACTCCTCACCGGCTTCATTGGCTGGCAGGCGCCTTTCTACTTTTACGGTAAGCCTAAAGCTCTTTTCAATTTTTCACTCCAACTTCTTAGCAAAATATTGTTGTCCCATGACATGAATAGATTTGTTGCAAAGTATTGCATGAAAGATAAAAATTTCCTTTTCCAGCAAAATTATAATTTTAGGAGCAACTTTTAAGAACACGAATTAGGAAATAACATTTTACAACTTCACTTAGAAATTCTCCAGGAACATCAAGGAGCATAATAAAAATTTATGACTAAGAATTTAACCATTTTTTTTAGATTGTTCTTTTTTCAAGTTGGCTCTGCGTAATCTTCAAATATGGATGCTTTCAATGGAAATTATTTCGTATTATTGTCTTTTGAAAGTGCTCTTAAACTTGGGATTGGAAAACTTTTTATATTAATAAACTTTTAAGAGCTTTTAGAGAATTCCAGTATGTGGAAAAATTATTGCTTTTTTAGGATATAAACAGAAATAAGTAGGAGGTTTTATTAGCTCTAAAAGTTGATAAGTTGAAAGTGGACGAAATAACTAAATATGAATTCAGGATGAAAACCTTGTGGAAACAATTTTAATAAAAACACTTTTCTTAATTTTGGCCTTTATAAAAAGTAAAATTAATATTCATAACATAAAATTCAAGATTTTATTAATGTTTTAAATTAAAAATCTTTCCCAGGTGTATGTGGTTTAATCTGGTTTGTGGTGTGGTTGTGGCTGACCTTTGAAAAACCACGTTACCACCCAAGCATATCGGCCGGCGAGCTCTTGTACATTGAGCAGTCGATAGGTGAGACAACCAACGTGGCGATGCCCACCATCAAGACCACCCCGTGGAGAGCCTTCCTCACCTCAATGCCCGTCCACGCCATCATCGTTGCCAACATCTGTCGCTCGTGGAACTTCTACTTCCTCGTCCTCTTCCAGGCTGCCTACCTGCAGACCTTCCACCTCAAAATCGCCGAGGTACGTTTCAAAAATCAAACGGCTTCTCCAGAACTGATTTTCAGTCTCACAAGATAAACCTGTTTCAATCCTTAGAAATTTTTCATGAAATTTGGTTCTCTTTCCATTACAAGAATAAAAGTCATTGACTGGAGAGGTCATTTAGAAAATTCCAATTTTTTTTTTATCAAATTAACACAATTTTGGCAGACTGGTTTTGTAGGCGCTTTGCCTCACCTGCTGATGGCCATCATCGTGCCCGGCGGAGGACTGCTGGCCGATCACGTGCGGAAAAAGGGCATTCTCACGACGACCAATGTGCGCAAACTCTTCAACTGCGGCGGCTTTGGCATGGAAGCCCTCTTCTTTCTGGTCGTGGCGTACGCCAACAGTGCCGCCGCCGCCACTGCCGGCCTCACCTTCGGAGTCGCATTCAGTGGATTTGCAATATCAGGTAGAAATTTTTAAATAAATATTAAAAAACTAATTCTTGATTAATTTACTCTTTAAAGATTGAAAGTTTTACTCCAGATGCCGGAAAGGCGTGAACTAAATAAAGTGGATGATAGATTTTGCATGCATTTAAGCTTCATCCTGTTCTCTGTAACATTTTTATAGAAAAAATAACCAAAGGGGCCCTGAATGCGCTGAATGAAGTTAATTTTTATTTAAATCAGCGTGTTGTGAAGAAAGTCAATGGGATTAAATTAAAAATTTTATTTACCTAAAAATAGTTATATATTTCATAATGAAATGAATTTAAAAAAGTTAAAAACATACATTTTGAAAAATAAATTAAATATTTTAAATTAACGTTAAATAACTTTTATTCATTTAGAATTTACTGTTTATTAAATATTATGTAAAATAAAGAAATGTTTAAAATTGCAAATTTTAAATTATGTTAATCCGCTAGTGTAAGTTGATTTTTTGTGAAGAAAACGTGTTCCTATAAATTAATCAAGTAAAAAATTTTGTATTAATTATGCTTCTAAAATTGTACCTCAAAATACTTTTCAATTTTTTGCATAGAAATTTCTGACGAAATTTAAAAACTTCAAATAGGGTATAACGTTAACCACTTGGACATCGCGCCACGCTACGCTTCCATCCTGATGGGCATGTCCAATGGCATCGGCACAATCGCTGGCCTCATTTGTCCGATCGTGATTGACCACATCACCAGCGACCACGTGAGTGGGCTTTTATTTCAAATTCTGCACGTCCAAAATGCATGAAAATGTGTTGTCTGTACAAAAGGAACCAAACTCATTATTTTCCATTTTAACAAAAGAATGATTTTTGGATTCTGGCACAAAAATGCACCGCACTCGCACCACAGCACATACTCACGCACAGTGCACCACTTTTTTCGCACTTTTATTTCAAACGCACTTAGCACCCCTCGCACACCCCAACCTGGTAGGTATATAATGGCCACTCACTATATACAGAGCCGCGAGAGCTGGAAGACGGCGTTCATCCTGGCCGCGTGCGTCCACTTTTTCGGCGTCACCTTCTACGCCATCTTCGCCTCCGGAGAGCTGCAGTCGTGGGCTGAACCGACCGCCGCCGAAATCGCCAGCTGGGGGCCTCCGGACGACCCCAACGCGCAGAAGAAACTGGCCATCACCCCCGCGGCGCCGCCACCCAGACCGGCACCTCCGCCCCAGCATCCTCCGGCGGTCAGCACCAACCCCTTCCTCAGCTACGGTGACCCTGCTCCAAGCTATGTGAGTGAATTTTTTTGCATTTCACTTCATTTTTTCGTTTTTTCAGAAATACAATTCTTTTTATTGCCCAATTTTATGAGTAAAACAATGTAGTTTTAAAAAAAACTTATCGCGCTTTCTAAAGTAGAAATATATAAATTATGTAGTTATAAAAATAAAAAGTAATTAAACCATTATTAAAGAATAAAAAAGATTTTAAAATTGCTCAAACGTTAAAAAAAATATTAGTTACTGTGTATTGATTGCCAAATTTAATCTAAGAATTTAAAGAAAATTAGAATTAGAATTTTTGATAACTGTAAACAAATGTTTGTGTATTATTATTGTAAATGGATTTGCAACAAATGCGCAATAATAAATTATAATAATAATGTAATTTGTTATTCGCGTCTCTCAGGGTGCTTTGGAATCGGCGCAGATCAACAGCGACTGGGGAAACAGCAGCTACGGTTCAATGGGCGATTCGGGGTCCATGCCCCCAATTCCCTATTCGAACCACGTCGAATCAGTCCAACCCGAGTCCAGAGACTATTACCAACAGCCGGGAGCCGAGGAATGGCCCATCAACCAGCATTAACTTGTTGGATAACTTTTCCAATTTGAATACATCTGATTGGATGATTCTCACGTCAAAAGTCAACAGAACAAAACTTAAATATACACTCTTGTTGTCGAGATATTTGTATCGGTTCACACGCGCAGGCGACTTGTTTGTTGGTCGAAATTTTGTTTTGAGGTGTTGTCAATTAGGTGGTTTCTAAAGGGTGCGAGTCCACGTTAATAATGTTGCAAGTGAGAAATAATTAATTGATGTTGACCAACTCAGTTCCGATGGCAAAATTTATGCAAATAAGAAATTCCAGAAGCCTAATAATTCTGTCAACCCAATGACAATACTGGCGAACAATAATAATTTTAATTTTGTTTCTATACATCACTCTTTTTGAGGTTTCCAGATATAAATGAGAGATATATATTATATTAGAGTCTATATAAGAATCGTTGTGATTGTAGTTAAATGTTATTCTCTGGGTACAAGTGCGCATCTGACTGAATTGGATATGAAAGAGGGCAGAATTTTTCGGTGATTATTTCCAAATTGAACATAAGAGAGGCTGCCCTGCATTTGTGTGCGCGAATGAAAATAAACGTATGTTTTACTCTCTCAAATAAAAGCCCTGCGACGGCGACTAAGTAAGAGTAAATAAAAAAACCGCTTAATTTGAGGTATGACAATGATTTCCCGAGATTCCCCAACCTGCACTTCGGAGGAGACTCGCTTTCCGCCGGTGTTGTCAGAGTTGGAGTTAAGCTACTGTGTGATATTGTTTATTTCCCCGGACAACTAAAACTACTTTTTCAATAAAACTCGAAAGAAACTTATATAAACATATACGAAGCTATGAAAAGAAATTGTTAGCTAGGTGGTAAAAAGAGCAACAAGACAAAATATAACCACGATTTAAAAGAAATACCACGACGTATATTTAAGAGGTGTGTTGTTAAATGTGTTGAAAATTTTCAATGATTAACGTAGGTCGATAATTAAGACAATATTGCTGTGCTGCAAACAATAATGCATTGTACATAAAAAAGAAAATCTCATTAGCTGCCATTAGTCGGAGAGTAAAGATGGTCTTATAAAAAGAAACAAACTTTCATCCTTCCGGCACCGACTTGGAAAAAGCCGCCGGTCGAGTGTAAAAGTAGAATATTTGTATGCATGAAAAAAATTAACATTAATAATTCACAATTCTCACGCATGGATTTTTTGGTGTATGCAAATAAAAGGAGGGTTCAAACTGTGGGAGTGAATCTTTTTTAATTTTTCAGAGTGATTTAAGTAATTTTTTAGTCTTTTTGTGCTTGGACACTTAAAGCTGCTCTTCTTAACTTTAAGGAAAGTACTAAAAAATTTGAGAATTGCTTGCGATTCTCATGGCTGTGGCGACAATAATTAACGGCCGCCCCGATGCAATAACGGGGTCGGTCGTTTAGCTTTTAGGGACACATAAAGGAGTCGAAGTGAGCGTGCGAACTCCTTTAAGTCAATAAAAAAAGAGGTAGGGTCGGGGTGCTTGGAAAAATAAGTATAAAAGTGTGCAAGAGGAAAATTTGGGAAGCAGGCGACATCTCTGGAAAAGTGTTGCAGCATTTCAAAGGGGTTGAGGTGCAAATTTTTGGAATAAAATAGTAAACGCCCACCCCTGCTTTAGAGCGGAAAATCACAGTGGATCAAAATCTTTCAATTGCATAGCTGCGCAAAAGGGAAACGAAACCCGCTCAGCTGTAAAATTCATATTATTACTATTTAAAAAGTTTTTTTTTTTATTCTTTCCTCTGTCTAGATTGAATCCCTCTTGCAAATCACAAATTGAAATTAAAAATCAATCCGTGAATGATTTTGTTTAGCATAAAATCAAGGAAGCTCATTTTCAAGGAAATTTTAGCTTTTTTTCATTTCTATTTAAAAATTACATTGGAAAAATAATTGAGGAAGTGGAAATAAAAAAAAATCTACTGATGAGCGGGTTGCGTTATTGAATAGGATATTAAGTTTAAACGTTTTTCAACTTTTAGTTTCTCTTAGGCCTGTCTAGAGTTTTTTTATTTTCATTTGCAACTGTGATAAATGTGCATGATTTCAATCTCTGATTATGTGTGTGTAGAATTCTCAAGCCCAGAAATTAAAATTGCGTTATATTTTTTGGGACAAATATAAAGTCAGTAGGCGAGCGCTTAAAAACATAAAAAAATATTAAAAGCGGACTCTCTCACTCACGCGTTCTAGCGCAGAACAAACTCAAATTTAACTCCCAAAAATTTTATCTGGAATGTCAATTAAAATTGTGGTTTGCCTGAAGAAAATTTCGTTTGAAAAAAAAAATATAATAAAGCAGCGTTGTAGCGCACAATAATAATTATGTAAATGAGTGGAGTTGAGGGAAAGCTTTTCTGTAAGGAATAAAAAAAATCTCGCCAGCAATAACGAGAATTGCGTTAGTTCGCGCGAATTCCGGTGCTCCTGCTCAGAGGAGAATTATTATCGATGTCGAAGAGGGCTAATTTATTCAAGCGTAAATTGCCCAGAGTCACAAAACCTAAAGTATTCATAGAATTAAAGAGCAAAATAAAGATAATTAATGTCAGCCTTGTTGCAATTACGCAAGGCTTGCGACGAACTACAAAACTAAAAAATTATGAAAATTAAAATATAATAATACCACCCCATTTGTAAATTTACCACCACCCCTTCATTGCTTTTGTGTATAAGACGATGTGTCTATATTGTTGAATCCTCACAAGTCCATATCTGTAAAGGTACACTTAAGTGAATGTTGATTAACCCTTAAAGTCGACCTCCCTCCACCTCGTAGCCAATCGAATGTTGAGCCCGCAATAGAATTGACATAATCTGCTGTCGGCCAACATTGTATCTTAGATGTTCATCCTTTTACTTTATTATTTCGCTTTCCTCTTCATCATAACCGCGACTTTCATTGGTAAATAATCATTCACCATAATAATTATTGAAGAAAAACTCCGTAGATGTGTAAAATGTAAGGGATTCATCAGCAAAATGTAGAAAAATACGCATTTTAAAATGTTAAAAATTGGAGCAGCATAAAAAAGAAAACTAAGATTTCAGTTAAATTTCTTTAAACATTGATTTTTTTGATTAAAAATATTACTTGTAATTGATTGCAAAAGTAATACCAATGTGCTCATTGTAGAAAAAAATTGCATAATGGCAGAAAGAGACGAATACTCATATCCAGAATTATAATGAGAAAAGATGTTACATAAGTGGTTCAATTATACTGCTAACTACCATAAAAAAATATGTAATCTAATCATCCAGGTTCATTACCCTGTCCTGTATGTGTGTACCATGAAACAAAATTAATAAGAAGTAAAACCCAAATTAAAATAAAGACAAAGGAAAAAAATCTCAAAAATGCATGCCACTTTGTTCTGATATATACGATTAAAATGAAATACAACAATGTTTAATCCTCTATCATAATGAGGTCTGCTCTGTGTAAAAGTTCAATTAAAAACGAATTTTGTTGGCAAAAATGTTAGTTTCATTTTTATTTTACACGTTTCCGTATAAATAAGATCACAAGTATCATTTTATGGTAAATAAATAAATAAATCAACCGAGGCTTTTCTCAAAATAATTCAGTTGAAGAACCGTTTTTAATAAATAACTGGCTTACTGGCATTATGGCACAACTTTAAACCTAGCTAAAATAATTTTTTTTTTATTTGCGAATTTTTAATTTTCACTTATATCAATTTGCAATAAAATTTCTTCTTATTCACTGAACCGAATATATTAGTCAAAATAGTCAAGTCAACAATTTTTAAGTTTAAAGTCTACTTATTTTTAACATTAAATTTATTTAGCATATTTTTAATTTTAAAATACAAATTTGCACTCATTCGTATTTGCTCCGAAGTTTATCACGGTACCTTTTGGCAAAGTTCACTGTGGCCCTGTTTGTTATTCCCAAGTCCCTAAGTTTTGAATTGTCGTCTCGGAGCTTTTCCCCTGCAAAGACAAGCCAGTTGGTCTTCCAGATGTGCGTCCAGCTGACAGCAACCTTCCTGCCCCTTTGCCGAAGCAGTCGAAGGTGAGTGCTGCGTTGGAAGGCTCTCTTCAGGTGGCTCACAGTTGCGTCCCGCTGGTCCACAATCACTTTAACTTCCTCACCGTCCTCTCGCCGTACATTGACAGTCAAAGCTGTTCCTTGGATAACAGCAATCTGGAATAAATCAAAGTAATTTCCCAAAATTTAATAAAAACCCATTCGTAATTTTGCATGTACAAGTCAAAGAAATCAATAAAAGGGAAGTCAAGATTTAAGTATACTTTTTACAATTTTTTACCTGGGCATTGATCTCGTCGAGCGTCACATTTTCAGGTAGGTCGCATAAAAGGGGGTCGTTTTTAATCAGGGTGTTCAGGGTGGTTTTTGTCATATTTACAAGCTCTTCGTGACTCAAATGTGAATCCACGCGTTCAGTAACTTCTTCATCTTTCGCAGACTCCTCCTGGTCACTCATCGTGGATTCTAGGGAAAAAATCAAACACTGTAATTTATGGGCAAAATTTGCAATAACAGAAAACATAAAAGAAAAATAATGCGAGATCATATTTTATTACTAAAACAAATATTTATGTAAAGACATCATGAGCATTTTCGTATGGCATAATCGAAATAATAATGCATTATATACATATTATGTGCTATAAATATTTCAGGGGGAACAGTTAAATATAATACCTTTTAAAAAATGTCAGTGCCGTCAGTGGTACACACACAAAATTATATTTTTCTTGATCTTCCAACATGCTGCTCAACATGCTGCTGTTGTTTGTGTTTATGCAGTGGTTCCTAATTTGCCGCTGTTGGCAGCACAATCTCGTAATCACTTGCATAAAAGTGGGCGTGCCGAAATTAATTTCAAACAACATAACTTACTAACATAACTCCAAACCTTTAACATCTTTTGGTTTGTGTCGTTTGGATTTTCGGTTGATAACAGTTATCTTAATTATTACAACATTGCAGCGAAAACCAGGTAAGTTGATTCAATTCAACTCAATCGCAAATTATCTATCAAATTTTTACAGGCATGAAAAATGAGCACAGTCAGGAGAGTCGAAATCAACAGTGACGTTTACTGGATGTGCAAGGATCATGCACTTTCCACCGAGAGAGAAGAAATCATGGGCCTTCTGTTGGGAGACGTAATGCTCCTCGCAACCTTTTACTTCTAAAATATTAATCAAAATTCTAGAAAAACGAAGACAATGTGATTGAAATTTCCGCCATCAAGATGCTCAAACGCTCGGATAAGAGAAAAGACCGAGTGGAAATTTCTACTGATCAGTTGGTGGCTGCGGCTGTGGAGGCCGAGGACCTGAGCAAGGAACTGGGCAGGGTCGTCAGGGTGGTTGGCTGGTACCATTCTCACCCTCACATCACAGTTTTGCCATCTGCTGTTGGTCAGTTTTACATATTAATATTATTAATTATGTTTATTATAACTTCAAAATTTTTTACCAAAGATATCAGGACCCAAGCAGCTTATCAGGGAATGGAGGCCTCGTTTGTTGGGTTGATCTTTTCCGTGTTTCCTGGCCAAGGGAGAGAAAACAAGGTAATGCAATCCTTGTGGTTTATATTTTTCAAAAACTTTTTTTTTTAATTGTTCCTCAAATTTTCAGACTCAACAACTGAAAATCATTTGCTTCCAAAGTAGGGGTGACCCTCCAACAGAAAGAGTTGAGGTTAAACTGGAAATAGTACCAAAGCACGGAGTGCAGGAAATCTTTGCCAAGGTAAATTTTAGTGGCCTTTTATTTTATTTTATAATTTGTTTCAATTTAGTCTGTCCTGGGTTTACCAAACATTCTTTTCGGAGAAGAAACGGAGCATTACAAAAAACACTGTACTTCTGAGTCGCTCAGTCTTCTCTCCAAACACCAAAATGAGTCTGGTAAAATTTATTTTAACCTTGTCTAAAACATTTTTGTTATAAACTATGCTTTCAGTGTTCACCTCCTCTATTTACCACATGATGTCTGTGATTGAGGCTCCGACCATTGAGACAATTGTGGAGCGAAACCAGATTTTGCAGCATCAGATCAACTACATGAAGGACAGGGAAAAGTGTTTGCGGCAAGACAACAAAGGCGTCCTGAAGAATCTGAAAGCTAAAATGTCATCAACCAAAGACTGAAAGGTATCAAGGACCAAATACTAGCCTTAAATAATTTATCACAATTGATTCCAAATCAAAAGATCTTCAATAGTTTGAATTTTGAATAAATTAAAAGCAAGTCTAATTAAGAAACAAAATAGGATTTATTAAACAAAGTAATTGTACAAGGTAACTTATCACCGAGTCTTACAAAAAAACAAAAGGCACAACTTCATTTTGCAATCGACAGCAGTACATCTAGGTTTAAGTCTTGGTTCACTTTGAAGGGACATGACTGGTTCCCTGTATTGGCAATTTTGGGCAAGGCTGATTTCTTATTCAATCACATGGCAATTGTTTGAGCTACCAAAATTTGTGATCCCTCTTAAAAACTAACTTAAAAGTAGTCGCATTTATACGCATCCAAAAATTATAAACAACCATCTACACTTTGAACTTCTTGTCCAAAATATCTTGGTAAACTTCTCGAGTCAGCCGTTTGAACTGGCCCGTTTTTTGGTCTATATAGTACATGGGGTCTTTCACGATGTCCATGTTGTAGGCTTCTTTTTGGAGGTCGACTTTCTTCAGTTTGAAAGTGCCTGAAAACAATTTCATTGAGTTTACACTTAGATCGATTTTGCTTATGTATTTACCTGTCATTGGCAGTTCTTTAAGGACTCTTAAAAATATTGGTCGGGCATAGGATGGCAAATTTGACTTAATTCCAGCGGCCAGTTTGGCCAAATCTTCCTCAGTTGTGATCCCAACTATCGAAGCCATTCCCGCACGACCCTCAGCCCCGGGAATCTGAAAATTTTGCATTTAATTTATTTAAAAACAATTAATCACAAATATACTTGGACTCCGTAAACGACGGCGTCGTTTAGCCCAGCAACATTGCTGATAACAGCCTCCACCTCGGAAGTGGCAACATTTTCACCTTTCCACCTATTTTATATTAATGAAATTAACTGATATGGAGCAATTAAGTTTTAATACCTGAAGGTGTCTCCTGTTCTATCCCTAAAGTAGAAATAGCCAAACTCGTCCATTTCCAGAATGTCCCCTGAATTGAAATAGGCGTCGCCTTTCTCAAAAACATTTGTGACAATTTTTTTCTCGGAAGCTTTTTGGTCCGCATATCCGTGGAAATCATTCACTGCTCTCTTCTTGTTGATTTTCCCAACAAAGACACCAGCTTCTCCTAAAAAAACGATAGAAAAATCAATTCAGAAAAAGTAAAAATTTTCTTATCCCCATACCAATTTTGCATCTGATGCAGAGTCCATTAGGGCCCCTGATCGGTTCTCCTGTTTCTTCATCAACTTTGACGAGAGCAAGCGGGTAGATCTTACCAGCATATCGAGGAACAAATCCAACTGCCCCCACCGTATTGTCAAAGTTAACTAGAAGATTTTTTATTTTACTTAAATTATTTTGGATTAATTTATTAAAATTACCAATATTAGAGTTTCCTTCGGTGGCTCCGTAAAACTCCCCGATTTCTTTAATTCCAAATCTGTCGACAAACTTAGTCCAAATTTGAGGTCGGAGGCCGTTGCCAAACATGATTCGGACGGAGTGTGCCCTGTCTTCCGGTTTTACAGGGGCTGAAAGCAAGTATCGACAGGTCTCTCCAATGTACTGAGCCGCCTATCTCACCGGAAGTCACAAAGTTTAAATTTCCTGTCTGGCTCTAAATTTCATTTTTCACTCACTGTGCACTTGTATTTAATGCAGTCAGTCCAGAAATTAGTGACCGAGAATTTCTTCCTTATCGCCATGGAGGCTCCGCACAAAACGACGCTGCCTATTCCAAGCATTCCGCCGGCTGTGTGATAGAGGGGCAGTGGCGTGTAAATGCAGTCGTTTTCCCTCACCCGCAACATGATGTTAACGCCCGTCGACATGAACATGAACCTGCACAAATTATTTAAGATTTCACTTCTAACGAAAAACAAATCAAAATTCAATTATTGCATATTCCAAACATATTTAATTGTAAATTAATTTTGTGGTAGTCTGCATGGAGTTAATTTTCAAATTTATAATTTTTTGTTAAAAAAAAGGCATTCCAAAGATATAAAAAATACAACATTTCTCAAACTTCTCAGCCAAAATTTTACTTTTGAATTAAGAAGTTACCTGAGGTGGGTGATCACAGCCGCCTTCGGAAGGCCGGTGGTGCCAGACGTGTAGATGTACACCAATTTATCCTTCGGTCCGAGCTTTTCCACAGCTCCAGGGATGGGTTTTGTTGAGACCTTTTCCAGTTCAGTGTCCAAACTTTTGGCACCAGTCAAATTCGAGTTGCCAGCGCCTAATTGAAGCTTCAGCATCCCATTCAGCTCGGATTCGATATCTCGGACGGCTTAATTTGTCTTAAAAATGATATGGTTTTCTAAATTGTCTTTTTATCCTTTTACCATCAGTAAGTTCGCCGGCCTCGAAAATTATAGCCGTGCAACCAGTGACGGCCTTTGTGATGGAATGAATGAGGGGCAGTTGTCGCAAATTAGAATTAATCAGGGCGGCCTGCACCCCGATTTCCGCCAGTCCCAACCAAATTGCTACATATTCGGGCCTGTTAGTGGAAAGAAGGGCGACAACATCACCCTGCTTGTAGCCTGCATTGTGGAAATAAGACGCCACCCGTCTGCTGTAATCTAGGACCTGAAATTTTTTTTTTTTAGTCTATTGAAATATAAAAATGGATAAAAAGCAGCAATTTTACACCAAATCGGATTGTATGAAAACATTAATAAAATTATTTAACTCCCCTCCTTCCCCCTATAATGAAACAAATTGTAATTTAAAAATCTCTTTTCTTAAATTTTGGTAAGATATCAAATTATTATTTAATATTTTTACTGCTAGAATTAATAAATTTACCTGTTTGAAAGTCCAAGTTTGATCTTCAAAATGAAAAGCAACTTTGTTAGGGTTTTTCTTCACAATAGAATGGAAAAGTTTGACAGCGTTCATGTTTGTTTTTTCCCAGTTTCGAAGACGCCAGTTGACTTTGGCAAATCCAATGGCACCTCTGAAAAAATTATTAATCAAGATTTGTTTAAGTTTGATTTCTTGATCATTTATCATTTTTTATGTTCTATATTATGAGGCTTAATTTAAATTATTTTATTGGGCTCCCTTTTCTGTGCTTTTCTGAATAAAAAGTAAGCTATTTTTAGCTTCTTTTTTAATCAACCCATTATCATTTTATTATTTTATTTTAATCTGGCTACAAATATTTGAATTGTTTAAAAAATCATAACTTATTTTATATTAATCTTGAAGTATATTTATCTCGTTTGAGAGGTTATTGGCCATGCACCAACGTGCACATCTAAATAAAACTCATGAATTAAGAAACTGACAATGTAGGGTATGTCCGTAGCAAGATTGATCGCCCGTCCCTAGGATGTGACGTACTCTTTTAATAATTGCACGAGAGGATGGGCGCTCTGACCTTACGCTGGCCAGAGAGGATCTTCTGCTAATCATAAGAACAATGCACGAGCAAAACTCAAGCGGAGTAGCCCTCAGCGCAAAAGTGGTCTCTAGTTGATAATTATTAGCGAGGGGTCTTTATGTTGTAATCCGTTTGTAATGCCAATCGTTTTATTTATTTGACTCACTGGCGGGCTGTGCTTTTACATTACGCATACACTCTCAGGCAGGAATCACATGATCAACGGCGTGAATCCTCTTTAGCCTGCACTTATTTTTTTATTGCACTTGAAGGTGAAAATTTTACTATACTTTCTTCAAAATCGAATATTAAATTAAACTACTAGGAAATTGGTTACCAGATAAAGGAAGGACTTTTAAAGATTTTTTTTTTTTCCAATTTTTGTTGAGATATAAAATCAGAACAAAGAAGATAGTCTGCATTTTTGTTGCTTTTTTAGTTTCAAATGAATGTTTATTGGGTTCCAGTGAGGGCAACAATGCCCCAACATGAACTCATCCAAATAAATGTCAAAAACAAAAAGCAGTTCTGACTTTTAAACTGACTCACTGAACCCTTTTATAATAAAGATTTTTTTAAAACTGCATTAACATTTGGAGGTCGTAGAGACCTCCAGAAAAAGTGCATGACACATCAATTCCTTTCATAGGAAAACCTCATGATGAGATTTTGCAACGATCATCCCGTCACTTTAAATGAAAGCTGCCTTAACCAAGAAAAAAGATGCATTGAAGCAGATTTACTTCAAAAATCACTTGGCCTTACTTAACATAGTTTCTAAAATTTTATTGAAGTTTTTGTTGAATGACGTAAAATTATTATATAATTTTAAATTATATTTTGGCGTGCAATTTTTTTGTGTGTTTGACGTTTGATGACAGCGAGACTGGTGCTGGTGGCGTGACCAAATCGGAAATAAACAAGGATGCCCAGCATTGGTTCATTTTTTGAAGTCCCCTCGCCGGCCTACATCAGGAATGCACTCGGCCAGATATCAATTATCATCATATCGCGCCGCACGCTCCAGTCCGCGGCCAACCAAGTCGGTCCCTCTATTGGTTCAACATTTTTATCGTGGTTTTACGATATAAAAAAACCGCTGAGAGCAATGCGGTCCCCCAATTTAACTTATCAGAGTCCCAAAGCATATTTATTTTAAAATTTCAACATCCGTTTTTTAATGGTACACGTTAAATTAATTGCACTTTGAGTATGAGAGAGAGGAAAAGTTCAATCAGTTGAGCCGCGAGTTCTCCTTCGCAAAGACAAATGCAAATAATAAAAGCATAGGGCCGCTAGGGGATCTCTATTTGACATTCCAGATGATAAGCTGAAGGGAAACAGCTATTTATCTTTCCTACGTACACCACCAATATTTGCAATCCCTTTAAAAGGAACTTATTTCAGGTACCACAATGCTCAGGTATACAATTATTTTACTACAATTGTTTCAAAATAAACACATTTTATTTATTTTTTATGTCTGCGATTGTTACATCTTATTCTTTAAAGTTCATTTCTGAAAAAAAAAACCTTGAACAAAACGGCACCACACCACTAGCAAAGATTTTGCTAAAAATTTCCAGGATCCTAAAGTAACCCCATTCGTAGAAGTGAGTTGACAGTTCATGTCCACATTGTATCGTGTTATTTCATCTGGTTTTACAAAAAGATATAAAAAAAAAATTCAAGAGAAAAGTATTGAACTTGTTTTGGTATCAGAAAATTTATTTACCTAGGGCGTTTATATAGTGGTGGGCCGAGACTAGTGTCTTATCGGTTCATTTCATTTATTGGAGTTCAGTTTGCAGAAGGCACGTTCTATTTCTTAACCTTTTTATTTTGGGTAAATATTTTATTTCAGCAAAAAGTTATTTTTCAGTTTTGGCTAGAAGAAAAGCATCTTAAATTATCATTTTGTAATTTAAATTCAAAGGCTGATTGGTTAAAATAAAATTCTTATAGTGAAAATATGATTATCTTTTTAATTAGGCTATGAATTAATTGAAATCGTGCACCTCTAAATCACAAGCTATTTAACTATTCTCTGTTATAAATAAAAAATTTATGGGCCGCTAGAGATTAAAAAGAGTACGTTTTTTTATCGCACTTTACTCTCTTCCATCGTTTTTGACACACTCAACGGTTTGCACAGTTCAAACACAGGCACGGTCCAGAGTACAAGGTACTATGCGCGGTCTCTCCAATCAAATTCAAAACACAATATCTCAACTCCTTTTATCTTTTTTCTCATTAGGGCAGTGCGGTCGCGTGTTGAACCCTCGTCGCAACCAGACCAAAGGCCAATATAAAAAAGGAAATTGATTCGCGTTCTTTGAGCTCTGATCATGAACAGACGTGATGAGAATGGTGAGGAGCACGTTTGTAATTTTTTACTTCTCACAGTTTTCAGGGGGTAAAAAGGTCGGTTCATAGATAGTTCGAAAATGGAGCGATAAATGAAATGCATTAGGAAAGTGTGGATCGCACTGGAGTGCAGCAGCATAATCTCGACGAAAAAAGTTCACTGTCAGATAAGCGAGTTTACACTTTGCACTCATCGGGGTACACGATTTTTTTCCAGCATCCACTTAAGATCCCAGCTAATAAGTTTAATAATAATTATCTTATCAGCTCAACATAATCCATTCCAAAATTGACAAGGGGAAAATTACTTTGTTGCTTTAAAATTTTTAGCTGACTTGAAATTCTGTAATTTTTGTAATTAAAGCAATAATAATAGGTTGTCATATAAAATTCTTACTTAAGGATATGTCCATCAAGGTCACTAAGTGAGAACCATTTCCGAGACACCATGTGACCCACAGCGGCCACAGTAAAAACGGCATCCTTAATAAGGCAAGATCCCTGTGTGGCGCATTGTGATATTTGACCCTTTTTACAATCCAATCGCCCGCCGCCCACATATATGCTGTGTAGAATTGGGTCATGCCTGGCACAAAACTATATTTCGGGGGCGCTTTAGGACTTCCATCTTAGCATAATGAAATTTACAAAATTTTCAACAAAAGAGGAGTCTTGTTTTTGTTGGAAGATAATTAAAAATTGTCAAAGACATGCTGATAAAGAGTCATTTACTTTTCAGCACTTCAATAAATTCAATTATTATTTTTCATCATTATCAGTTATCTTGAAATGCATGTATTCATCTTCATTTAAAAATATTCAATATTACAATTGATTACAATCAGAAATTAATTTTCATCTCACTATTGAAATTGAAGGACTTTGCTTTGCTTTTGAGTGGTGAAAATAATCGTTGCATTTATTCCGACAGATAAAATGATAAAAGGTTATTTTAGCTTAGAAACAAAATATTTCATTCTCTCAAAAACCAACAAGGATTTAAATATAAAAAATGACTCTTAGCACAAATGAGCTTTTGTCTACCACTGACAAAGTAAAGCTACAAATTAAATAGCTCAGAAAATTATCCCCCAAAAATGAAAATTCAATCATAAAACTCTTAAAATTATTAATATTTTATACGCCAAATTTCCATCCTATTTTTAGAATGAATTGAGGTACACAAATAAATAATCCGAAAATTTTACTATAAACTTTTAAATAATGAAATAATCAGATTAAATTCTTTAAATCTTCTTCACTTTAACCATAAACTTACAAATTTATAGGAGTGTTGATACAACAAGCAAAACTCACCTAGCATCTCGAGGCAGGGTCTTGTACAGGATGTAGAACCACCTGTACCTGTTGTTGCGCGACAGGTAGACAGCCAAGAGGGCCACCAGAATGGTGAAGGGCAGCAGCAGCCACAGGGCAACAGGGATGTCCGCCATCCTGAGCAGCGGCTCCGTCGTGCTCCGCTTTGTGACTGATTAAACAAACGCGACGAGTGCGGTGCTCGACTGGTGTGGCAGGGAGGAGCCTCGAGCTGATTATTCCTTAACATGCGTTGCATCCATAGGCGAACCGATGTCACTCCATTGTAACTATAAAACACGAGAGAGCGCCGTGTGATCAATGAAATAAAAATAAAATAAAAACGAGTGACCCTCGGCAGACACACAATATGCTCTTTTTGCAACAGGTGATATTTTTAAAGAAAATTGTTTTATAAAAATTCAATAATAAAATGAAGATTAAATATAATTTTTTGGTCATTGCAAAAATGAGTTGCAAAGTTTAATATAAAAAAAAATTATAAATAAGCAGAACATTGACGGAACACAAAATTAATTTTAATTGGAGATTTACTAAAAAATTTGTATTGAAAATAGCTAATTCACGAAAACTTAACTTTTCATTTTGTACACAATTAATATCCATAATGAAAAAATTCATAGCCTGTAATATTTTAAACGTGAAATTAATTCAAAGTATTATTTTCGGCAATCAAAGAAACTAGAATATTTACGGCTTACGGCCAGATGATAATTATTGCAGTAAATTGCAGTATTATGCAACCGGCACTTGCTGTGCGTCTGGCCGGTTGCCTAACTTCGTCACATGCTCCGTCGCGCCCGGCGCCACCTATGTTGCCAATTCGTAGTGTCCAGCTGGTGGCTGAACGTCATGCTTCGTCATTTGGCCTTGCGAGTGCGCAATTTTGATAAACAAAATCCTCCTCTTGAACGAAAGAAAGAGAAATTAGGCTGCTACATCTTTGACGGAGATCGACGCAGTTCAAACACCAGCACTGGCCTTAGAGATAAAGGCGAGTGACAACTATTTGACCCAATTGTTGGTATGCCAGTGGCTGGAAAATGGGACTGATCGAAGAGCACGAAGTAGTCCAGGAGAGGTGAGCTTTTCGCAAACAGCAAATTGATCACATTATGTGGGGCTGTGGTGGGTTATATAACCGTGTTTGAATTGATTTTTGCACTCTTCAGTTGGTTCTGGAGTTGGTTCAAGTGGTCACCAGTGTCCCACAACAAGCTCAGACAGGCGGAGAAGAAAATCTTTTCGGGTTTGTAATAATTTTTAACAAAATTTATTTAATTTGTTGAAAAAGGGTTGAATTAAGTAATAATTTAATAATTGAAAATTTGTTTTTCAGTTTTGAAGACGGAGTACCGAGGTTGCTATGTTGACATTGGACCTGCCGTCGGAAACGAGGACAAAATATGGACAATCAGTGTCAACGAGCACTGTCCGGGCACTCCCCTTGTCATGCTGCACGGAATGGGGTCTGGCTCGGCTCTCTGGGTCTTGAATTTGGACACAATAGCAAAACAGAGGCCGGTGTATTGCATCGATCTTTTAGGTAAAAAAAAAAAAAATTAATTTTGACGCAGAATAATTTCTATTCTTGTTTATTGCGCCTCTCTGATTAATTCACAAACTCAATTTATTGAGACAAGGTTAAAACGTAATTTTCTAAATTTAGGTTTTGCGAGAAGTTCAAGGCCAAATTTTTCCACCGATCCGGAAGTTGCGGAGAAGCAAATGGTCCAAGCGATCGAAGCGTGGCGGCACGAAGTGAGGCTGAATGACATGATCCTGCTAGGGCACAGCTTGGGTGCATTTCTGGCAACCTCGTACTCAATTTCCTACCCTGACAGGTTGGTATACTTTGTTTTAAATAGCAAAATCATCATTGCGGATAATGTAATTTTTTGCGACTAAATTTAATTTGCTTAAGTTTTGTGCACATTTTTATTGGTATTCTTATCAATATTTTATGTTGACCCTAATTTAATAATATTTATGGCAGAGGGGGAACTTGTGAGTATATAGTGTGTATAAATTTCATATCATCCAATATCAACAAACTTTTCTTTTTTCTGTTGAGGGATATAATGAGTCATGAGTCCAAATGTCAAAAGTTTTAGAACCTCACTGCTATTTTTTTGTATGAAAATTTTAGAGTGAAGCACCTCATCTTGGCCGATCCGTGGGGCTTTCCCGAGCGCCCCAATGACGTTTTATCCAACAAAGTCTCTCTACCCATTTGGGTCAAAGCCATCGCCTTTGTGGTCAGTCCTCTGAATCCTCTATGGGCTGTCCGTGCCTCAGGTCCATTAGGTATCCCTCATTTTTAATGCCTTAAAATTTAACTTAATTTTGTCTGTCTAGGTCCGTGGTTGATTCAAAAAGCAAGACCGGACATTATGAGGAAATTTGCTCCTGTTCTTGGTGATGACACTTCAATTGTTGGCCAGTACATTTACCAGTGCAATGCGCAATCTCCAACGTGAGTTTTTATCAATTTTTTTCAAAAATGTCAAGGAATCTTACTGAATTGTCTGACTTTGCTAAATGTTTTTTAGTAAAAAAAGAATAATATATAACATTGAAATTGATTGGAAAATTTCCCTTGAAATAGTTATTTTTTCTTTTGTGAATTAATAATTTTGTTTCAGGGGTGAGTCAGCTTTTCATGCCATGATGACAGGTTTTGGATGGGCCAAGAGACCTATGCTGAATAGAATCCAACACCTGAGGGAAGATGTGCCCATGTCGATCTTGTATGGATCAAGGTCTTGGGTCGACAATGCAGCCGGCGAAATCATCAGGTCCAAAAGACCAGAGGGATCGTACCTAAATGTTCAAGTAATTATTATTATTATTATTTAATTTTCATATCTTTTTTTATAATTTTTGCCTCTTGAACAGATTATATCTGGTGCTGGTCATCATGTATACGCAGACAGATGTGAGATTTTCAACCGAATTGTAATTGAAACTGTGGACAGATCGTCTCGGCCTTTCACCATTGAAGAGCCACTGCAGGCACAAGAGGAGGACGAGGAGGAAAAAACAGAGTCGGACAAGAAAGAACGCTGAAGTGACTCAAGTATTTAAATAAAGAAAGCAAGAGCATGAAAATGGAGTTGGTCAGTGAAAGCATTTAATTATTTTGTTTTGCTGAAATGACGCATTTTATAACAATTATTGATGATGTATTTTCTATTTCCGGGGTGTTATTTTTTCTTGCTAATGCTCCTTGATTATTCAAAGCATACACCCGTCCTTACTTTATTCTTTCCTTTCGTATATCTGTGATTTGATTTGGTTGACAGCTAGATAGTTCACGATAGTATAATATAGTAATTCAATTAATGTTATGATTTACCGATTTTGAATTCCTAGATTGTTTTCATTATAAATTAGAAAGTCCTCTTTAGGGACAAGTTTAAAATTGCAGAATATTTGCCATGAAATTGTAGAAAATGCGGTGGACTAGCTGTTTCCTGCTTCTGCGGCTGATATTTATTTTGTTCAGCAAAATAACCTTGCAATTCAATCGCATCACGTTTTAATAAACTAAAATGGTACAGTAAATATTCACTTTTCACTTCATTTTTTTAAACCAATTATTCTTAAGAACAAGAAAATCAATCATCTTAATTTTTAACCAAGAGACAAAAAAATTTAAACTTCTACATTTCATCACAACAAAAGTTTCACGAATTTCTTGGAAAATTTATGTTAAAAATCGAGAGAAATAAAAAATAATAACTATAACACGAGAGGATAATAAACAAAAAATTCACACCTCCCCCCACTTTCCATGCATGCAAGAAATGGAATTGGAGATATATTGCAAAGCAGCATGGAAGTGGGCATGGTTTGATTGAGAGACGAACAGGATTTTGCAGGATCGTTCCTGTCATGTTACTCTTGGTCGCAAGAATTTTGCGTTTGCGTAGAACAAATTCGAGCGGCTTTTCGTCATCTCTCCGATCTCTCGTCTTCTCTCTTGCTTATATCATCGAAGCCGTCTGACTCGAGTTGCAAGACGGTAGAAAATGTAGAATTACGCTGCCGGGCACTGCATGCTGACGATTGAGTATTCGTCTTTATTTTAAGTATTTATTATTATATATTCATACTTAAATTTGAAGAGGAAATTATGTGCATTTATTTCGTAATTTGTATCATCTTTTTCTACAGAGGGTGCCGGCGACTCGCGCATATTCTGAATGAGATTATGTGATCTTTTTGTAAGATTAATTGCTATAATATTCTCTCTTGCATTCTTTTCATCGCCACAAATCAGGTTTAAAAATTTCAAATTATTCTCGTCAAATTGTCATCATTTTAATTGTATTTGAATATATCTTTAGACCGTCGAATGCGATGATGAACACCCATGAGAAAAGCCTCGTCGCCCAGCAGGGGCCCAAAGATTCCGAAAGTGGATTTTCGGAGTATTCGAGCGCCACTGCCGGCATTATTGCCACCATGAACTCGCCTCCTTCGATCAACTTGCAGAACTTTCTGCAGTCGTGGAAACCAGACGAGCCAGAGTTGTTGACACCTCTATGCCATTTATCCACTCTGGTTATCAATGTAAACGGAGTGGAGATTCCTGGGCTCTTCACGCTGGAAGATGCGTCTAAGCTTAAGTCTGCCCTGGAAGGTACCTCCAAAAGTCTTCCCTGCATGCCTCTCATCGGTGGCGAACCCACTCCGATGGAGCAGTGTGAAAGTTGGGTCCAGTCCCTTCCAAATCATGTTCCTGTTAATGAATATGAAACCACAGAAAACGAGATCGCTCCTCCAAATATAAAGGTAATTTCGGTAATTTAATTTTATTTAAAAATTGAATATTTATTTTCTTATATTTAGTTATTTATTTTTCCTTTTTAATTTTAGTTGCCAGAAACTGCCACTAATTTGAAATGCAAGCATTCACCAAAGACTCGTCCAGTAAACACAATGATTGAAAGGCTGAAACCAAAACTACCAAGTGAAGCAAGACTGTCCCTGCCGATGGACATGGATGACCATAACATTCCATCTCAAAGAGCATCTTCTCCATTGTCGGATGAATCGTCTGAAAAAGAACCTGCACCTATTCCAAACTTCCTAGCACTAGATTTGGAGCTCTCCTCTGAAAGTAGTGATGAAGAAGAATCTCAACCTGTAGTCCCTGCAAAACCTCCAGTTGAGGGGGTCACCCTTCTGGATGGGTTAAAACTCACAATCAACTGTAAGGCCATTAGAGCTGCCAAGTCAAATAAACGCAAAAGGAGTTCCTCTAGCAATAGTTCGTCAACAAGCATGGATGAAGAAGATCTGCCTCTACTGGACGATGCGTTTATGTCAAATGATGATCTTGATTTGTCACCAGAGGAAGACTTTGAAGTTGGCTCTTCTTCTGACGTAGAAATGGTCCTGCTTCCCAGCTCAAAGAATGAAAAGGCTATGGTGGTTCATCTGCCGAAAAGGGAGCCTAGAGCTCTGGAAGAGGAAGAGATGATTAAGCAGGAGCGGAAATACATGCAGGCCTATGACACGTAGGTAAAAAATTTAATAATTTTCACTTTTATAAAATATGATTTTTTTCATCAGGTGGCTTGAGTTGAGAAAACTGCAGTACGCTAAGTTCATTCCGGAGGTGGTAAGAAAAATGCCTTCAAATATGCAGCCAGTTGTCCGCCTGGAGAGGCGCCGGTCCATTGATGAATTAGCCAAGGAAATAAGCTTAGACTCTAGTGACCAGTGTTACCAGGAATCTCAAGCGCCCGTCATGATCTCAATCGAAAGTTCTGCAGAGGACTCGAGCAATCCATCGTTAATTGTTGAGGCTGAGTTTGAAGCTGAAGAGACTTTGTTCTCTTTGCTGGACAATCTTGAAAATTTCTCCTTTAGCGGAAGCACTCAAAGTCAGGACTTTCCAAATGTCTGCGTCTCGTCAGAAATTAAAGAAATGAGTGGAGAGGCAAACAAAGAGCCTGATAATATCCAAGCTTATGATATTGTGTCAGAAATTATTAGAGCATCCAGTGATATTACGCCTATGCCTATTACCTGCGAAGACCAGAATGAAGTACCTGCTGTTTCAAATGAGCCACGTGAGGCTACTAATGAAATGCCTGCTTTGAAAAAGTTTAAAATTACTGAAGGTAAAATATTTTCCAATGTTAAGCATAAATGTGTGAATTTTAAAATATATAATTTTTTATAGGAGTAGAATCTGTTGAAAAAGCATCGGGTGAAATAGAGCAGAACCACAATCTCATTATCAAGAAGAGTCAAGACACTGCCACAGCGACTAATGATCAACAACCAAAATCTTGTGAAGAGTGTGAAGACAAAGCTGTTGAGTTGGAAGAGACTGCAATGCAGACTGGTATTGTGCAAGAGTCTTGCATGGAAGAGGAAGAACTTACACATGAAGATGATAGCGATCAGGATGAAGACTGCATTCATCTACAGTTGAGTGAGGACGAAATGGAATTTTAAGGATTTAGTCAAAATTATTTTGAAGACTAATTTTTTTCTTCGGAGTCATCACTCAAATTCAATTTTGAACAATCTTTAAAGTACAAATCATTTTAATTATAATTTGTATGTATTTCCAAGGAAGTATATTTAAACTTGTCTCAGCAGAGGATCATGACCCCAAGAAGGGAATTCTTATTTTCGATTGCTTTGAAAGCAAGAAATAATAGATTCAAGGTCACTTTCTTAAAAATATCAGAATAGCTAATTAACAAGTGCGTCAGCTAAGCTATTACTCACATATTTATTTTCTTTAAAATTAAAATTTGGTCCAACTAATATATAATCAATTTTTCTTTATATTCAAAATTCATGCAATTTGGACAAACTTTTCGCTGTCAACAATCCTGTAGACGTCCTCTCGATAATTGCACAAGTCGTCCAAAAATCGCTGCGAGCTTTCATTGTGCAATTTGGTCAGCACGGGGGGCAGGGGTTCGATTCCTGCAGTTTTTGCCAAATCTTCGTAATAATCACCCTGCATTGGTCCCATCATGTGTCCCTGTCTGGGTCCCAGTCCTTTTTCCCTGCGATCCTTAGCTTCAGCCTCCATTTCAGCCAACATATCCTCGGATGAGGGTAGTGTTAATGAGCCATCCAAGACTTTAATGAAAAATCGACTCTAAAAAATACAAAATTTGAATTTCAAAACTTTATATTTATGACCTAAATTTTCATACCTGCAAGTCAAACATTGAGAAGGCGCAAACGTAAAAGGGCAGACCAACAAAGCACATGGAAGGTTTGTTTATGTGGACTAGGTGCTTGTACAGGGGCTGGACGTGATTGTCTTTGACATAAACTCCTGCCTCCTTGTCCAAGAACGGAAAACTATAGCAGTAACCTTAAAAATCAATCTTCTTATATTTATTTCAATTTCCTAATTTTTAAATAAAACCTGTGCAGTAAAATATGACATCGACTTCAGCATTAGTTCCATTTCTAAAATGGATTTTGTTGCCATCCATGCGAATAATGTCTGGGGTTTGGCGCACGTTCGGTGGGAAAACGGTTTTGATGGGGTCGGGGTTGTGGTGGCTGAGCACCACCTCTTTGGCGCTGCGCGCGATCTCAAGAGCCAAATCCATCCCCGAAGGTCCAGCGCCGACCACCACCACTCGCTGGCCAACAAAGGGGGACGGCTCGCGGTAGTCGTGGCTGTGCAGAATTTTTCCAGAGAATTTGGCTTGGCCCTCAATCTCCGGAATGAATGGCGTGTTATAATGCCTAAAATTAAATAAAAAAAAAAGATTGCTGTGTCATTTTCAAGATTTTGTGCAATCCGCATTAAATTCCATTGCTCTTAATTATTGTTTATCGCTTTTTCGATTTTTTAACAAGGCTGATTTTCTGTAGGGATTTCCTGTGTCTTATTTATTCGAGCCCAAGGCTAAGCTAATTGCTTGCAGGCCGCTTCATTGATAGATGTTATTGTGTGACGCGACTGACTGGCCATTGGGAGCGCGATAAGTCCGCACAGCATCTCCCTCAAGGATCCACGCTTGTTTTATCTTTCGTCTCTGATTACAGAATGAGAGTTGCGCGAAGAATAATAAATACATACTTTGCCTTGTATGTCTCTGTGTGCCACATTGCAAAATGAGTTTCGCGTGCGCAAATAGAGAACTTGTTTGATGGAATTTTTATGATAATTGCATTCAACTCTCTCGCGTGTAACTTGTAATTTGCCCCCGGCTTAAAAAGTCTGCTCCAATTTTTTTTTAGAGAATAACGAAAAATGAATTTACCCATTGCAAATCATGATAGCGTCAAAAATCTGTGTCTCCGATTTGTTTGCGAGCAGGTTTTTGAATGTCACCTCCCAGGCCTCTTTCACTCCTCCTGACACTGGTTTGATCTTTTCAACGTGATGACGGAACTGTAAATTTTGCTTTTTTTTAACATTTTACTTTTTTATATTCAAATATCAAACCTTGATCAATTTGCGAACTCCAAAATGATCGGCGTAATCATTCAAAAATTGCAGAATTTCCCTCGCATACAAATAAGACTTTTGCTGCTCGGGTATCGGGTAGTCTGGATAGCCCATCACCTCTTTTGGCAAATTAGTCCTAAAGAAAAAGTTTTTTATAATTGTAACTTTTTGTCCCAAAAATATCCGACGTATAGTACCTGAGACTTTTGTACATGCTGGAATGGACAGGAAGTCCGAATTCGTCCTTTCCCACCTGGTCTGTGTAAACCCAAGTGCCACCGACCTGGTCAGACATTTCGAAGACAACGCACTCGAACTCGTCGGCCCTGGCGCTGACTTGGCGTGCAGCCGCCAGCCCTGCGGCTCCGGCGCCGATTACAGCCACGCGCTGCTTCATCTCTGGTGACAGGCGAGAACCGAAAGAGCTCGCAAATGTCGAGCCAAGATCTCAAGCGTGTTATCTATAGACCGAGAGCTAAAGTCCGCCGCCACTCTCCGACTAGTTGCTCCTCCTCCATCCTCTCTGCTTACGATGCAAGTGTGATTGAGAAATAATTAATTAAAACGAAAAAAAATAGAAGCTTTTCTCACTGTTATAAGATGGTAGAATTTAAATTAATGAATAATTGTTATTTGAGAGCTTAGAGATAAATTAATATCATATTATGTGCGTTACAAAAGTAGATTTTCAAGTTGATTAAAATATTTATAAAAATTTTCACTTCAAAATAAAAAAAATAGAAATTATTGCCACTTATCAAATTGAATTATTCACACATATGGTATGATTTATTCGATTTATTAGTCTCGAGTTGAGTCTCAATAGGATAGTATAACTAGTAAATAAGTTATTCAGCACAAGTGCCACAAGTATACGATTTTATCATTTTATGCGGAGGGAAAAGAAATCTCATTACATAATACAAAATATACAGGTGATGAGCATTATGGGTAAATATTTTCCAACGCGCCAACATAGTTTAAAATTGACCAATGGAAACGCTTGTCAACTCTAGAGCTCTGTTATTGGCTGATTCGGCTATGACTCATTGATGTACATTGTTTTGGTCGGGAGTTCAGGGAGTTGGAGATTCAGGGTGATATTGCGGCTATTTTCGCAAAATATCGCATTTGATTATTATTTCAGGCATTATTTTTCCACTTCTTTGTTAAAAAATTCATTGAAAGGCTAAATGTCGTGCTCGACTTGTTCTGCCAAGTTTGGCTTCATGAAAAAAGAAGTGAGAAACAAATAGAAATTCCCATGAAAACACTTCCTACATATTATATGCTTTTTTTCTTCGCAATTTCAGGTTGGTTGTCCAGGATGTGGTTTTTCGTTCTGCAGCAGGTGCCTCAAGTTTGAAGCAGTAGGCATGAAATCGCTGGTCTGCAAGAACTGCAGTGAGAAGTCGAAGAACAAACCTCTGGCTAGGCCTCCACCTGACATTTTCCTCAAGTTCGTTGGATTATATTAATTTAATTCCAGAGACAATTATTCATTTTTATGCAGGAGACTCGAAAACTTAGAAGATCCATCAAGGCCTCCGGTCACCGTGTACGCCCATCAGATGCCAGCGGCCTTGCAAAATCTAAGCCAGCCAAACAAAAATCCTGCCGAGGCTCCGTCTGAGATTGAGCTCAGAGGTCGTCTCCAGAAGTTAAGGCAAAGGCTGACAGCTGCTCCTTCCGTAGAAGAAATTGAAGAGAGGCTTGCCAAACTGCAGGGAATGCACCACGCCCCAAAGCACCATTCGTTTGGTAAATTTGTAGAAAATATTGGAAAATAGACAAATTTAATTAAAAAAAAAAATCAGACGTCTCATCTCTGCCAAGTAAAAGTGGTGAGGAGCAAACCCGAGATTTGATTAAACAGATGGAGGAAGAAGCAGCTCTGAAGAAAAGCTACGAGACCAGCTGGCAGGCTGACATCGAGTCTCGTTTGGCGAGACTGAAAGCTGGATCAGATCCTCTATCCGAAGATGTGAAAATGGAGGAAGAGGCAGCTGCAGAGGACCCCTCTGATCCTGAGGCTCTGATTAAGAAAATTCAATCTGAAGGCGGTGCAAAGACAGAGGAAATCGATGACGAAGAAGAATTGGAAATAGTCAATAAGGCAACCAGACAGATTATTTTCTGAGAGGCGAAAAAATAATTATTATCTATTTATTTTTTAGATTGTTGCAAAGATTGCATTGAAGGAAAAACTGAGAGTTGATGATTCGGAAGTTTCCGACGAAGAAGTGATCAGTGATCACGTTTCGGTAATATTGTTAGATATCATTTTAATTGTGAAATGTTGCAATTTTTAATTAAACAGGAGGAGGTGCCTTGGTGCTGCATCTGCAACGAAGATGCTACCCTGAGATGTCCCGGCTGTGCTGGCGACTTGTACTGCGGTCGTTGTTTTAAAGAGGGCCACGATGTTTGTGATATGAACGAACACAAGCCAGTCAAGTACGATCCGCCCAAAGTCGAAGACATGATATAACCATCTTACCACATTCTAAAATTATAAAATATTCATAGTCGCTGAAACTGTCCAATTATTTTTGCTATTTATGTGGCTTTCCGAGCACCACAAATTACAGAGCCAATAATTATAACAATTTATAATGGATTATTTGGAAAGGCTGTTTTAATTGTTATTTTCTATGATTTTAAATTTTTAGCTTTATTCTAAAGTAATGCTTGGATTTCTTATGCACCTGAACGATATATTATGATCGTATTGCTTCGAATGGAAATCACTGTGTGCACCGTAATTACAGTAAAAATATATAGTTCAAAAGAAAATATAATTATTTTAAAACTTTTCTTTAGCTTTTTATTTTTGTCCAATATTTTAATTGAGAATAAAATTGAAAACATATTAAATATTTAAGAATTAATTTATTTTTTCACTGCAATAACATTTTAAAATTTAGAAACAAACCATCCCCCTCTAAACATAGTACGTTATTGAACATGATCATGCGACCAAAGCGTGTATGCCAGTGATTCGCTACACTGTGGCGGAAGGCGTTCAAACGGTTGAACGATGTTCAAGATTTATTACAACAAACTAGGGAAAATAGTGCACAGTTAAGGCTGTGACGTCACACCCCATTCACAAAATTTTGAGACAGGTCAGGGGGTGAAAGCAATTCTGGAACCCTCCCAAATTTTCTAGTCAAAAGTGCGCGGGCACCTGGAGTCGTGCGATTTGAGCTCTCTGATTGGTCGGGGGTTTGGAGCGAGGTTATAAAGAGAGGTGGCCGGCTGCCTGACGTCATTCATCGTTTCGTTTAACAGTTGTTCCGAGAGGCAGCGCAGAAGCAAAGACGGAAATCTAAAGCGAGCCATTGGAATCAAAACATCCTGCACGTTTTTGAAGGCATTGCCGAAGTTGGTCGCAGTTGCAAAACGCAGCGTCCTCGTCCGCGAGTGAAGTCAGAGTTGCCAAGCGCGAGTCGAGTCTAGCTGGGCACCATTGCTTGCAAATTGGATCGCCGACGCCAACCGAAACGCCAGTCGCGCAGTACTTTCGAATCGCAGCCATTTGCTACGTTGCTGAAGTTGGACCGCAAACGGAACAGCCGCACCAGCAGTGCCATGCACTCGATTAGCGAGGTGAGCACCAACGTGCCGGCCTTCCTGGCCAAGCTGTGGAAACTGGTCGAGGACACCGACTTTGACGAACTCATTTGCTGGAGTGAGGTGAGATCATTTTTCGAATTGCACGGGAATTTAAAAATACATATTTTTGAAAATCACGGCCAACCAGCTCGGCGCCCCTTTCCTTTCAGGGCTAATTTTGTCCATCTTCGGAGTAATTTCTATTTCCATTGCCGGGGTCACCGTGCTGCTTCAAACTTTATTAATTAATCGGCGCGATCTCTACGGGGGAATTAAATTGGGCCAAATCCAAAAGTTGCGTAATGTCGGCAACTTTACTTTGGTCTAACAGGGAGGCGTAACCTTCGTCGTGACATTCGCCTGCGGTGCGCGGGGATCAATTTGCTGCGTCGTAGTATTATCTAATAGCCGCCACCGTTTTTATTATTTTTATTTTTTTTCATAATTGTCTGTCGTTACATGAGCTGCGTTTATGACGTTCGTTCTTACAAGTAACCGCACCCAACATAATGGCCGACTCGCCTATTGTCTATTTCTATTCCTAAATTTAATTGTATAAATCGTTTCTACTTTTTCAGGCTGGGGACAGCTTCATCATCCACAACCAAGCGCAATTCTGCAGGGAGTTGCTGCCCCTATACTACAAACACAACAACATGGCCAGTTTCGTCAGGCAGTTGAATATGTGTAAGTTATTTACTAAAAATATTATGTAAGATGAGAACCGCTCTCCCGGCTGATGTTTAAAAAACAAAACTGACCTAGTTTTATCAAACCAAATTGGTCCCTCTGCTAAATTAAACGCTGCCAAAAAATTAACAAAACTAAATCTTTTCCTTAAAATTTTACTCTAATAATATATTTTTCTAACTTTCCTCTTTCGAACAGATGGATTTCACAAAAAAGTGAACGTTGAGGCCGGCGGCCTGAAAGTGGATCGCGATGAGATGGAGTTCGCCCACCCCTTCTTCGTCCGCCAGCAACCACAATTGTTGGAGCGGATCAAAAGGAAGATCGCTGAGCCTGGTCGCGGAAGCTCCAGGAGTTGCCCCGAGGCTCTAAACAAGGTGCTGGGAGACGTGAAGCAGGTCAAAGGCCGCCAAGAATCACTGGACGGCAAGTTGGGTGCAATGAAGAGGGAAAATGAAGCTCTGTGGAGGGAATTGGCGGTCCTCAGGCAGAAGCACTTGAAACAGCAGCAGATTGTCAACAAAGTGAGTAAAAAATTTCCTGTAACATGCTTGATTTGAACTTACAACAGAAATTTTTAATTAATGCCAAGAAAATCAAACAAAATAAAATGAAGATAAAATATATTTGTTCAATAATATGTCTGTCTAGTGTATAACCTAGGGCACGACTTTGAAGTCGTACCCAAATGAGTTAACAAAGATTAATGGTATTGATTGCAAATCTATTTTTATAAATTAGTCATGAGTTTTGTTTTCTTATCATTAAAAATTGACCTATGTCCCAATCTACTTTAATTGGACCCCATTTGGAGCTAATACTATGAAGGTGAAATGTTTAACATCATAAAATTTAAGATTGATATTAATACCCCCACTCCATTTTACTTAAATTTTGACAAGTATTTTGGGATGGTCGGTTACATTATTTGTGGTTGTGTAGCCTCACTTGTCCACACTTGAATTTAAATTTTAAACATACTTACAGAAAGCCCAAGTCATCTTATTTTAAATCTCCAAATTAAAATTAATTTCGATTCTTATATATTTATGATAGATAGAAAAAAAACAATTTTTTTTTTTAATTTAGGAAATTTTTTCTACACTTGTTCTGCCTTTATCCAATTTGCAATTCATTTATAAACATTTTTGTTGCTAAACAGCTGATCCAGTTCTTGCTGACGGTGGTGCAGTCGCCCAATAGATTGAATGTGAAGCGCCGAGTACCACCCCTGATGCTGAACGACAAAGACCACCACCACCACCATCATCACCACAAACACCACAAGCACAGCCATGGCGAGGGCTCTCCTTCGACATCTACCTCAGACTCGCACATCTCCATCAGTGCCCCCGTCTCACCTGCCTTCATGGAGGACACGGTGAAGTCGAATGTAAGTGTTTGGTTTTAATTTGTTTTTGATAGCTTTTCAATTTTAATAAATACCCTATTTAATTTATCTTGAGAAAGTTTTAATTGTTAAAATTCCTATCTATACTAGCCATAAATAAATACAAGTTAAAGTAAATTTTTTTTTTCGTAAATTTTACAGGACGGAAAGGGAGGTCCTACCATTCATGAACTGGACCCAAGTCAGGAGTATATTGTTCCTGATACGAGAGACCTTGATGAAGAAGATGAGGAGGAGGAAGAAGAACTTGGTGCTCCCTCTCCAGCTGAACCCCCAAGGTGAGTTATTGACTGCAAATACCCATGAATTTTCTTTAGATAACAACAAATCAAGTGGACCCCACGGGCCATTTTTAAACATTTTTTTCCGATTTTTGTATTTTCTTATTTTCCGAAATGTAAGCTGACAATGGCCAGACAGTGCGATAAATACAGGCCTTTTTCAGTCCCTCGGAGCTCGGTTTGTCTTTCGAGAGCGCCCAAACTTTGAACCCACCAGACTTGCTCCTTGAGGACAGTAGTGCTTCCTCCCATGCCGCACCACAACAGGAGAGCAAGGAGGAATTGAAAAAAAGGATATCGGACTTGGCCATTCCCAGCAACGGCGGCAACGTAATGTTCAACACATCGGACGAGTCTCAGGCGTCAATCACCAGGTGGGGGGATCACCCCCTGGGGTAGGTCTAACCAAGCCGGCCCCAGACACAAGATTTCATGTTGATGATGCACGTTAAAAGTTGAAAGGGTCCCTTTTCTTCAATGACCCGTGGCTTTTGCATTCCTTTTGAAGGAGGCAAAAACAATTGTGTGTCTTTCATGGTATCTCTTGTCTCCGTTGGAATTATGAAAACGTGGTTCTTGAAAGGCCACTTTTTGGTCATTCAGAATTACTTTAAGACGTATGTTTCACATTTCACATAAAAAGGTTGATGCGCTTGCTTGCACACTTTGTGCCAAACTGCATGCTTTTTCCTACACCACTGTAAGGTGAATTAGTATTATTTTGTTAGAACAATGCAGGTAAGATTTAATGATACACCATTTCTATTATTGCCCGTGACTATATTTCCTATTCTGCCCAGAGCAAATGTATTAGTGGCATGTTTGGTGTTTTATTTTTATTTTTGATGAGCCGCAAAGCTTATGGCATTAGTACCTTAATGTTTGCACTCCCGCATTGAGCGACTCAAACAGGTTTTGTAATTGAGCGCAGAGATAAGTGCATCACAGGTATTAATGAACTCGCAATTGAAAGCTTTTTTCAATTACGCTGTAATCGATGTATAAGTTAATGCTCTAACCGTTCCGTAAATTGCTAACAAGTAATTTTAAAAAGGCTTCGGTGTTTCACCTTTCCTATAATGTGTGTAAATAAGATATAAATGCAGCTTGCTACAATTTTGAATTTTGTTGCCATGTTTCTCAAAATTACTTCCTCTGTGTTTCCAGGGAGGAGCTTGACAATCATGTCGACCAAGTGCAGAATGACCTCGAAGGTCTCAAAGAGCTTCTGCAGGGAGACAACTACAGTCTTGACGCTAACACCCTGCTTTCGGTGAGTGTCAAAGTTTTCAATTGATTCTTTTATTACAAAATTCTGTGTCTTATTTGAAATATTTTTTATTTTGCTTCAGCTATTTGCTGATGACCCTCTCTCCTTGAACATGGGCTTGCCTGCCCAGGATAAGGACATGGGCAACGAGATGATTGCCTACAACCCCACTCTCTTTGACTTGGCTGATGAAAACAATGATTCGTCTGCTGTTGAGAACTCGGCTCTGTTCGACTCGGACTTGTCCGGTGCAACACTTGAAAGTCTAGTGGTAAGTGGTCTTTAAATTATACAATGCTATACAAAAAGATAATTGAGGACATTCGCTTGAGATTTCGCCCGGGATAAACATGTTCAAATTGTGCTATTCTGGGAGGATTACTTCAATGGGTTATTCAATAAAATTAACCCTTGTGCTAGCAATATAATGAGTTAGCCGATTATTGCTTCTTATAGCAAAATCTGATTTCTTTTCAGCAGGAGTCCGAATTGCAGACTCCTAACCCCATTTCGGGTCAGCCAGACTTTTCGCAGCCACCTTCCAAAAGGAGGAGGCAATAGACAACCAACCTCCTGCACATCGAAGACTGATTGAGGTTGGTTGATGCCTCATCTGCACGCAAGTGTGAATCTCCGACGCTGATGCACATACTTGCATCTTGGACTACAAGGCTCTGTTGAGAAGGAGCCCCCAAACTTGGCTTTGGTTGTTTTCTCGTACTTGTGCAGGAAATCCTGCGTCACTTTTGAGTTTGCTCTCCACTAAGTTAACTTACTTTCATCTTTTATATTAAGATGCCGATAACAGTCGTTGCAGTTAAACAGCAATTCACACTCACAAGCGAGTTCTTCATTTCTTTTATTTTTCTACTTCACTTCATCATTTTAAAAACCATAACTGATTAAAAATAAGATTTTTGTTGCTCTAAGCGCCCAGTAAATGATGGGTAAATGTTTTCTTTCGAAGCAGACTATTCACGAGTATCACTAAATGAAGTCTCGTATCTGGTGAAACAAAGTTTGAAGTCGATATTCAGCACATTATTTATGTAGTGTGTGTGCTTAATGAAAATGGAACTGCAATTAAAATGACTGAATGATTTGGCCTGAACCATTGGTATTGGTACCCTAAGCTTAAATCAACTAGTTGTAATGAACACGTTAAAGATGTAATCAATAGTATATAATTACAAAAAATGAAAAAGCAAATAAAAAAATAACAAAAAAAATAAAACTAAAATACTTTTTATCTTTCTCAAAATGAAAAGTATAATTAATCTAATTTGCTGGACTTGGATTGTGTATGATACAATGTTACCGAGTTTAAATTAGAAATTAGCTTTTTAATTTGAGATGGTGAGTTTTATTTCAAATTATGCAATCCTTTGAAATGCATTTGTGCGATCAAGTGCTTGATGTTGATGTTTTTAATGAACTCTTCTCCATATATCAAATTCAACTCCATTATGTTCAGATGCTCTTGCAGTTCTTTTCTCGATAGCAGGATTGTGTTCCAGGGACTCCACTCCTTTGTTATATCCCACCTGCCAAGCCTTAGCTCGTCCAAGTTAGAGTTTTGGCTGATGGCTGACTGGCCATGCCAAATCTGGTCCACCAAGTACTTGATGTCATGCACCTCTAGGACAAAGGCCATTGACCTGTAGCAACCTCGACGAGACTCCTGTTGCTGCAACTCTTTCAGCATCAGCGCGAATGGGCCGTGATCAACCCTGCCATGACTCATGTTGTCAATCCACTGGCACGAGGTGCACACTTTGATTTCAGGTCGAGTCAACGGGATGACAAACAACTTCGGAGGAAGCATTTTGCGACACTGGTTGCAAAGGAATAGTTTTGATTTCGGTTTCTTGCAGTCCCTCGGGTCCCTGATCAGGTTAGAGAATGACTTTTCCAATCGAAGGTGGAGGTTTTTAATTTCATTCATCTTTAATCCCATTTCCAGCAGCTGAGCTTCTCGGTCAACCAGTTGCAAAACTTCATTTTTCTTTGGTTCGTTCAGGTGCAAAAGTGCCTCTCGAACAAGCTGCAAATTTTCTTTCAGCTCCGCCGTGTTTAGATTTTCAGCAAATAATTTGTCGTGGAGTTCCCGCAATTGACTAGCACGCTGGTTTTTTGTTGTTTCCATGGAGATGGTTAACCCATTATAACTTTTCCATTTGACAGGAGAGCAGATCTCATCGAGCAATTGCTTTTGGCGCTCTTTTAAACGCTTTTCTCTCATTTTCACTCTCTCTTTTTCTATCACGGCTAGCATGTTGACCTGAAAATTTAAATAACTTCAAACTGTTGTACAAATAACTAATTTTGTTTACCAAAGTTTTTTATAATTTTTAGAAATAAATTGTATACCTGCATTTCTAGGATGTTTTGGAAATCAGCCCGGCTCGGCCCCTGAGTTTTTGTTGCAAAAGCATAGTCAAGGCACCTCTTCCTCCACCTTTCGACCAACTGGTACAGAACCTCAAAGGTAGTCGGGTTGTACCTCCCGGCGGCTGCATCCTGCTCCAGGTACAGCTTGAGCTCCTGCTTGGCGACGGCCTCCTCCCTGATCTTCTGCAACCCCCTTCGCACCCTCCAGCCCCTGAACATCCTCTGGATGAGCACCACCCTAGCCACAACGTCGACCATCGCCCTGGGCGCCTTTGGCGTCAGGAGGCGCCCTTCGATGGCCCCTCCAGTCTGAGTAGACCCATCCCTCGGGGTCTGCTGCTCAAAATTAGCGCAGCTGCGGGTCTGCACCTTTCTGGAGCGTTTCAGCTTTTTAGGTCTCCCTGACAAGAGGTCGGCCTGAGTTTGACTTGCTGCATGATAGTATTCCCGACCCGTCTTTTTGCACCTGTATCCGCCCAAGAACTCTTTCTTGCGACAGTCGTGCTCGATTTCAACAACCACCATTTTCTGCTGCTCACCAAAAATTCCACTGGTCACAATCACGGTCAGAATGTCCGTCGGTCTTGCTCTGAGGTTGTCAGGGACCTCCAAATCAACGTCAGGATCAATGCAATTGACGTAAATCTCGATTTTATCATTTTTTCTCAAAAGCTCGCTCAAGGTCTGCGCCATGTTTTGCAAAACTTGAGGTTTTTCACCCGCTAGAACTAGAATAAGCATTTCGCTTGGAATGTACAACTCGAGAGCCACTTTTTCAAGGAGATCAAAAACGGTCGTGCTCCGGTACGAGGTCAGGGTGAATGGCACACCCTGTGGCAACCACAGTTTGACAAAAATAACTTTGTCGTCGACCGATGTGTTATATTCTTCTTTGACAGCCACCACTGACAAAGCGCTGCTCCGAACTCTGACAGGTGATTTTTGCTGGGGTTCGTTTGGCTCGGAGGCCTCTTCATCGTTGCCACTCGGAAGGTCTTCAGCATCAGAGGAGGGAAAACTTTTTTCACTCATTTTTATCTAGTCGGCTATGTAAAAAAAAAAATATTTGATGTTTATCATATAAATGCTGCTATTTCCTAAACATTACCATAGCAACAGTCTGCAAAGTTAAACTTTTAACCAGAGCCGGTGATACAACATAATAATATCCGATAATATCATTAAGCTATAGCTAGAGAGGACCCTTAATTGTAACAAAACAGAAATGTTTTTTTTTCATGTTTGACATATTTGATAATTATTGTGATGAACAGTCAAACAAAATTAGTTTAGTGTCTATTTTGCTTGCCCTTCCTTTTATTCCAATTCCATTCCCGCTTTGATAATATATATATATATTGCATATTATATTGTGACCAAATAAAAGACAGTCTGAGTGTCTTCCCAGCCCCGGCTACGCGAACTTTGTGGTATTAATTATCGGACACCTTTAGGGCGTGAGGGTTTCTGGACTTGATTTGTGTTCGTCACAATATAATAATTGTATAGCGTTTGGGAGGCACAAATGTGCTAAAACAATAAGAGGGTGCTCGACTTTGGCAAAAGAGACCAACCCAATAGCCTAAAAAGCTCACGGGTGCCAAAAGCAAAAATAATAATAATTTTAATTTACAATGTAATATCGCATAATAATCCCTGCTTTTAATCGCTGTCTATGATTTTAAATAATTAATAATAATAAAGTTTTGAAAATGATGTGTTATTGTTATGAAATGTTTTTAAATTATAATTTCCATCATGAGAAAATTCTGACAGAAAAAAAATTTATGTGATAAATTTAATATTATTTAGTCGAAAATTTCGTTAAATTTATGTTCTTTTTGTGTGTATGAAATATTCACTTATGTGGACGCATCATCCGGGGGTTGGTTCAACAACTCAAAAATATTACCCCTCTACTGCGCGTGCAAATATTTGGGCCGTCCAGTACTGTCGAGATCTGTCGAGACTCTCACGCAAAGTCGCAACCTCTCACGATTTTCCCAGCAAGAGCAACACATCCAAAGTCCAAAGCCTCACTCAATCTTTCTCCATTCCGCTCGGGCGCTCGCTCAGTCGTTTGCAAAGCCTAGGTCGTCGTTGTCTATTAACTTTTTCTGTTGTTGCAGGTAGTTGTAGTTTGTTGTTATCATCAGCACAGGAAATATGGCTTGCTTTGTTTTATTGTGTCTCTAATTATGCGTGTGGACTGGCTTTTGGGTGAAGAGTTTTTCTGCTGCGGATTTTGTACATATTTTGCGGCATTTTGTTAAAAATCCAAATCCACTCATCTCTTTGTAATAAGTTGTTGCATTTTGGATTACATCTCCGCTGTTGAATTTGAAAATTTGGAGAGAAAAAATTCATATTTATCATATTTTTCCCAATTCCCTTCCTTGCAAGAGTCTTTACATAGTTTAAATAATGATGATTGTATTATTTAGTACTAAATAATACAATCATCATTATTATAGTGTGTTCTTCTTATAATATGCGTTGCGTATGAGTATTGCGTGCAAGAAAAGAAATATTTAATGCTAAAAAGTAAAAAATAATATCAACTTTCAAGGTTGTTAATGAAAATTTATACGTATATATGTAATTTTATGACGCGTGCATATCCTTTGAACATAAAAATTATTAAATTAATTCAAGAAGAGATTTTTTACTCTCAACAGAATAATACATCAATAATCGAATAATCTCAATGGTTGTGTTTCAGGTTATTTCAGAGCCATAATGACATATTACATCAAGAACTCTTTTGTCCCAGTCGACGAAAATCAGCACTGGGAGTTCAAAGGGCACCGCAACTTCAGTGCAGATGAAATTCCTGCGTGGCGACCGGACGGTTCCAAAGTCTGTCCGATTCGCAACCCGAAGGAGTTTGCCAAGCTGACGAACGGCGTGCACCGAACTCGCCAACCTATTTCCAGGCAATTAATTTAATACAAAGTAATAGTTGGAATTTTAAAAGTAAATTTTATTTTCAGAAACATCAATGGATTTCTGAACAGTGGCAAGCACGGCAACATCCTGATCGGTGTTCTGGACAATGGCAAGGTTGAAGGCATTCCCATGAACTCGATGCAGAAAGACCATCTGCTGGTGAACCTTGAGGATTGCCTCCGCCGCTTCCAGCCTTCAGTGCCTCGTGAACTGGTCAAAGTCGCCTTCATTCCAGTGGTCAGCAGTGTGGAAGAACTCCTCAACTACGACCCTGAGCAGGCCAAGTAATTTCCACCATATTATTTTTTTTTTTTTATAATTCTTCTCTAAATAATTAAACAAATAGAATTTGCGAGCCTCCCGATGCAATCAGGTTCCAACCTCACCTGTTGAGGACCTCCTCTCTGTGTTGGTGTGAGGTTTACTCAATGGAACGCCAAAGGAAATTTGTTAGAAAAAAAATTAAGTAAAATTATTTAAAAGCTTAATAATATGTAAATTTTTTTTGTTGAGTGCAGGGCTTCATTCCTCAGTTGTATGTGATTGAAATTCGCATCGCCGCCTTGCACCCGTCCATGCGCACCCCAGAGGTGAACAAGGCACTGACCAGCCTCATCCCTGCATCAGCCTCTCCCTTTGAGAGACTGAGTTGGCCTGCCTTCATTAACGAGGACCACAGTGCCTTCGTCAGGGTCTTTGCCAGTGTGGTCAAGGTATAATTATATAATGTGAATGTAAAAGTTTTTTTAAATGCTTATTTTTTTCTTCATTAGTACACACACCTTGAGATTGAAAAGTTCAATCGCATCCAGACTCAAATGTACATCAAAGACTTGCTCAAGTTGGAGCAGGACAGTGAGGAGTGGGAAAAGGAGACACAGAAGTTGCTTGTCTTGCTGGAAGATCCAACAGTGGACCTCATTGCACTTTTGAATGAGATGGTCAAGGTGCAGGAAAAGCCTATCTACAGCACCAATCCCATTTACTCCCATTGATTTTTTTTTTATTATGAGGAAACAAAGGTTTCTGTAACTATAAATAACTGACACCTTGCGCACAATTAACGTAACAAAAATGCACTTAACTTAAAACTGATCTACTTTATTATGTTCTGGGCTCATCATGATTTCTACGCAACAACCCTATTCCAATAAAAGTCTTAACATCATAGAAAGTTTTAAAATGAAACAATGAAACTATAAATTTCCATAACATACAAAATTAAAAATTTATTTCAAGTCCATCTGAATTATCACCACCAGTTTTATAATTAATACATATAGTTATAAAACCGATTATTAAAAATTCAATAGCTTCCAAAATTTAGCAATATTTCGTTAAATACATTGCAAGGGATAAGACATGGGATAAGATATAATACTGTATTTTTATTAGTGGCCAGGTTTGGTTACCAAGTCCTGTGGCAAGACCACCTCCTCTTCTTGGCGTCCTGCTGCCATCACCTGCTCAATTTCTTCAACCCTGCCAAAAGAAAAAATTGAACTATAACAATGTAAGGTCTTGGAATAGTCTCACGTTCTGGGCACAATGCTCAAGATTTCAGCACCCGTCTCGGTGACAGCCACATCGTCCTCAATGCGAACACCGCCAAAGCCCCGCAGTCTCTCAATGGCCTCTCGCACCAAGAATCGGTTCCTGCGCGGATCGGCCAGAGCCTCTTCAAGCAGCTGCAAAATTAAATCAGTTTTAAATTTTTTGGAAAAATACAAACTTGATTAATTTGTACCCTGGGAATGAAATAGCAGCCAGGTTCAACAGTGACCACCATATTGGCCTCCAGGTTGCGGGCAGTGCGAAGAGAGCGGAACCCTGGCTGTTCAGGGCGCGGAGGGCAGTGCGACAGGTAGCCACCCACGTCGTGGACATCACAACCCAGCAAGTGGCCGAGACCATGCGGCTGGAAGGTGGCGGCCAAGTTCACTTCCATCATCTCGTCAATGTTGCCTTGAAGGACACCTCCTTCAATCATGGCCAAAAGCATTTCCCTGTTGGCCAGACGGTGCATCTCGACCCATGACACTCCTGAAATTTTTGTCGAGAATTTAAAATATAATAATATGAGTTATTTCTATTAATTTATATATTTTTGTGTAAGGTAAGTTAAGAGAAACCAAGGAAAACTTGAAACTTTTTAAATAAGTTCATAAAATCAACATAGATAAGTCAAAAGTTAGAACAGTTGATGAAATTCAGTAGTGCTTATTTCTATTTTTTTTTTTAATTATTGAGATCTAATTGTAAGAACTTTTTTTCTTTTTAATTTAATGGATAAAATAAGATTTGCACCTGGTCGCATAGCAGCAATCACAGCCCTGTTGGCTCTCAGCACAGCATTGTAAATCATCTTCTGATCATCAGTGAATTTTCCATTGGCTGGGAATGAGCAAGTGATGTCCGACGCGTAACAGTAATACTGGGCACCCATATCAAACAAGCTGAAATTTTTCATCAAATTTTTCTCTTCATGAAAATTCTTTTAAACCAACCACATGTCCCCGTCTTGGATCTGCCGAGAGTTGGGGGCGCCGGCATGTCCGTAGTGGAGGACAGCCGAGTTGGTGCCGGTGCCGCAGATGCACGTGTAGGCGCAGTGTCTGCAGCCACCGTTGAAGTAAACGTGTCTCTGGAACTCGGCCTCACACTGGTACTCAAACATTCCAGGCCTGGCCCTGCGCATCACGCTGACGTGGGCCTCCGAAGAGGCGCGAGCCACGTAGCGCATCACCTCAAGCTCCATTGGCGATTTCTGGACTCGGCTGAAATATATATTTTCTAATTGAACATTGAAATATTTAAATGTGATTTTTTTTTCACTAAGCACTGAAATTCAACCAAATCTTCTGATTAAATGGGTTGCTTAAGATAAATTCATAAAATATTTAGCTTAAAATTTCATCGATTTTTCCTTTATTGAAAGATTTAACAAGAAAAAAAGACTAGACGTAACAATCCATCCTCATTTGTCCTGCATCATTTTCGCAACATGTTGTCTGACAGCGTAGGGATGGACCTTCAGTCTGTTCAGAGTGTCGTAGTTCAGATCGACCACCTTGAACCCGAGCAGTTGGAAAATTCGCTTTCGCAGAGCCTGAGGTCCAGTAAGAACTTTTCCATCGCGGCTGTAGTGCTCCGGCACATGGATCAACAAGATCGCGCACTGCGACCTGTCCACATTGTCCAATTTTTTGTTCCAGGTGCACACAGTCGGATGTAGCACCAGGTCGACCATGAACAACTCAATGCCCGGCAGTTCCGATAACAAGACGGACGAGGTCGCTTGTCTCTCCGTGTTGCTCAAAACGTCCCTCAAATAAAAACTCATGCTTCGAATTCGTCCGTCCTGCCAGACAGGACGCGTCGGCGTTTTTGGCAAGAGTGGACCGTTGTAGGTGGTGGGACACTCGAGGGTCAGGGCAGCGTCCAGCGCTTGCAGTTTGAACCGGTTGATTACAAGTGAGGCTTCCGGCTGTGGTTGGGCCATCGAGTCGTCAGACAGTCTGTCAAGGAAGTTGGGGTTGAATACACGGGTGACAAAGTTGAGAGGGTGTTTCTGCAAATAGATGCAGTACAGCAGCGTGTTGAGGGCGTCAGTCGGTTTGAACTGCGCGAATTTGGCGTCAAGGCTGGTCTCCACATGCTTCCAGAATTGGTCCGCGTTTTTGGGCAAGTAGTTGAGGTGGCCGAACGCTGATAGGTGGTGCATTATTTGGGTTGGCGTCAGGTTTGGACACTTGACAAAGAAAGTGGCGCCGCCGTCCAGAATCATCTCCGAGCGGTGCCGGAATTTCATGATGTGGGCCATTAGGTTGGAATAGAGACTCTGTTGAGCCTGAAATTTAAAAATATCATAATTAATTAATAGGAATTTTTGTTTCATGAAATTGCACAAAAATTATTCTTTAATTGGGTCAAATTTTAATTTATCCAACTCTTTGTAATAAAAAAAATTCTAATACACTCATTTGAGATTTTGTTTGAAAATAAAAGTTTGATAAATTATTTTGTTACTTGTATTAAAATCTACCTGAGGTTTGCTCTTCTTTTGATTAGCTTTGACGAATCTCTCCAATGCCACTTTGAGCGTGTTGTCCGAATAGTTGTGGGAAGAAAATGCCGTGATGATGCAGTTCAGGTGCTCCGGTTTGATGAGATGGATATTTATGTTGGTCCACTTGCTGAGCGCCGCCAGCAGCCGCACCGACGAAAGTCTTGCCGACTTCATCAACGCCAAAATTTCTCCAACAATAGTTTGCCGCGGACTTATCTGCCACCAAAAGCCAGTCGGGCCGATCATCTTTCTTTCCAAAATCTGGAAAATTGCCTGCCGACTTTCCTTTAAAAAGGGCAACACCCGGAACATTTCCAGAACGTTGTACTCCGAGATCTCGGCCTCCCGAGACACAAACCCGACCCACAATTTGTCCACGTCTTCCGACCGCAGGTGGGCGAAGGACCGGACGGCGTCGCACAAGAGACTCAAATTCAGTCTGTTTTCCGTGGCCCGCACGAGAACCTCGTTTTTCAGTCTCTCCTTGTGCTCCCTGCAGCCAGACAAATCCCTGGCCGCGATTCGAAGGGCCCTGACCACAGACGCTTCGTCCTTCCCCGTAACAATGATGTCAATCAACTCGCTGACGACCGCTGCCCGAGTGAAGTTGGCGTCCTTGTTGTTCTCTTGGTTCCGAAACTGGTGGTTGTTTTCCAGATCAAGGATACGTTTGAGGGCGTGCACGGCGATGATCGGCGTCACCTCCTCCTTGGGCAAAATCTCCAAGAGGGAGTAGAGCGACTTGAGCGAGTGGCACCGGTCAATGGCACTCACAGCCTCGTCTTCATGCTCTCCGTACGAAGGCTGAGGCGCTTTCGGAGGCAGTTCGGACGTTGTGTCAAAAGCTATGAAGTCGTTCACCTGAAATTCACAGCAACTTTATTCTGAATGTTCAAACAATTCCCCCCTTTTTTTTTTTTTCGTATAATTGCTGACTAAATATATGTAATTTGTATCGCTGTTTGCCATTATATCTATATAAATTCATAGCACTAGAACAATAATTTAAAAAATATTTTTAGCTATTAATATTTAAACACTTTTAAATTCCAAGAGAAATTTCTGTCGGAATTCCGCTCTTATTAAATTTGCGCAAAAAAGCAATTCCACACATTTCAAATTATTAAATTTATATATGGCTTCTCTTTGACACACTACTAGGAATTTACGATTATTTATGTTTGTGCAAAACAAGCTTCAATGAATTAATCACACAAACAAACCTTCCGAACAATGACCGGTAGTTCGTTGATCTCGCAGCCGTCCTGGACGAGTATCATCGTGTGTCCGAGATCTTCGGGTTTCCTCCACTTTGCAGCAATTTTGCCACTGTAGAAGGAGGCGGACAAAGGGGTTACGGAGCGGAGTTCGCAGGAGTTGGAGGTCAGCAGGGCGCTGATCCTTGTCGAGCACCGTCGGATGTGATGCATCTTTTTTTTTTAAATTCCACCTGAAATTTGAAGAATCGTTTAGAACGAAATCCTGGTCGCTTCTGAACGTCGCAGCTCACCTCTTACGAAAATTGGGGTGATGAAAATAATAATAATTGGTCGTGCGAGGAAGGGTGGTTGCGACGAGCGACGAGTTCAATCTCCTCCATGGTCGTTATTGCAGAGCATCCTTATTTTTCGGCTCGATTGGAAAATGATGATGACGACGCCTTTACACGAATTTCGAAAGAATTTGGCGTCCGAATCGGACACACTTTGTACGCTGATGCAATTATTTAGTACGACCAACGCTACCAGCTGATTTGAAAAATTTCAAAAGAAACAAACATGGCGCCTCTCGGAGAGTGTAAGGAGAAAGCCCGCGAAAAGTTTGAAAGTTTTGGTTTGAGCAAACAAAATTATTAATGAACAGGATTGTCCGGTTGTTTAAAAAAAAATGGTTTTGGGAATAAAAATAATGAAAAATCGAGGGAAAATAATGGAAAATATTTAAATCAATAATGCAACAAACAATTAAATTACTTATCTGATCTGTTTTGCTTTCTGGATTTCTTAAAGAAAAAAAAACCCATAGAAATAGCTAACTTTGAAACTATGTTATTTTAATCTTATGGAATTATAAATAAGATTTAATCGTAAGCGTCAAAATTGATTTGGTTGAATTTAAAACTTTGAAAAAACTCACCATTCCGATATCTCAGGGTGCAAAGTCTCAGTATTCGTTGTGAATTCATGGATGCCATCGAAAGCTGCCTGTCTGCATGTCAACCTACTGTCACTATTTAGTCCATTCTGTAAATTTATTTAAATAATATTAATTTTTTCTTTTAAATTTTATCAATTAAACTATGCTAATTAAAATGACATTCTAAATTTACTGTTTCCACATCCCAAAGATGTAAGATGTAAAAATAAACTTGTTTGATAGATTATATAATATAATTCAATAACCAGGTTAATTTTACTTCAATGTCCCGTTGTTAAAAAAAAACGACTGGTGCCAATTGAATAACTTCTTTTGTGATTTTCATAATGCGTTATTTTTTTGCAAAAAGCTGCTTCCCATGACTTTGTAGCAGCTGCGAGAAAGAAACCTCACGTAGTCACAACCTGACCGATTCCGAGAATCGACATTGCATTTTTGCCACTGGCTACAGCTTTTTTCACTCATCACAGAGCTCAAGTTGGCAAAACAGACGGAGGCGCACCTACAAAAATTTAATCACACGCCAACAGATTGGAATTTTACATTTCACAAATAAAAAAATGTCTTGCTTTCTTCTCTAATAGAATTGAATTTTATTTGTCAGTTGAAATTGAAAATTTGATGATTTTTACTGCCGCTTCAGAGAATGAGAGTTGTAAAATTCAATGCCAGGTCATTTGTTGTCGTTTTATTCAAAGCTTTTCTCTCGTATTGAGAGGCTGCATGTTGGGAGTGTGTTGTTTGTTGTTGTCCTTCACGAGCGCGCAGAGTTGAATGACTGCCGAGAGAGACGTCTTTCTTTTTGGTCCGGTGCGCGCTGCTCTACCTGCGAGACCTTCACAGCAAAATTGCTGCCTTCCCATAAATTTTATTTTTATTATTATCGAGATCATTTTATTCATTCTTTTTCCATGCGTGTGCACTCTCGTTATTATTTTTAATGCCACAACGCACACTACTGCGCCATCCTGCCGCAACAATTTAGGCCGCGCGGAATTCGGCAGAAAACTCAAAAGCAGATATTTGTGGCTCGTTTTCTCGCAATTAAATAATAATGCGGGCCGAAAGTGCACAAACAGACGCGTAATTCGTCTGCAGTACTTCTTAATTTGGTCAGGCAGCTGCTTTGCTTGCGAGTTGCGAAGTTATTATATTATGCAATTAAAATTTGTCATAAATTTTTTTTTAAATATATATTATTTATCATATGATATATAAAATTATAATTTTTTTTCAATAGATGCGGCACAAACCTATGCTATGGTTACCATACTTTTTGGTTTGTTTTCATTTGCACAATTCCGTATTTGCGTTGTGACTTTGCAAGGTTCGCGTAGTTAACAACTACAAAATTAATTAACTCAGAAAATATGGAAATAAAATAAAATTAAATCGTTTCCGTAAAAACTCTGCAAAATTAAAACTTTCGGTGAAACTGGAATGGTGATTTGGGAATTTTCAATAAACTCTAAATCAAATCGTTTGAAGCATCCACTAATTATTATTTTTTTGGTTTGAAAAATGAATCGTGATGTTGGCTTATACCCAACTTTGAATTTTCGTAGGATGTGCGTACATCTTGTTTTGGGCAGAAACTGCCTGATAGATCTGTTAACTTAATTTTGCAAGAAATCACTAAACACAGAACAAGATCGAACCTAATGAAAACTGTGCAATTTTCATCAGGAAAGTAGAGAAATTTTTAATTAATTCTTCAATTTTTAGGTTGATTTAATTCAATTATAATTTGTGCTCAGGGACTGCAGCCCACTTTGCCTTTTTAATCAACTCGGCGAGCCTTACGACACGATTAATTGCTTGAAGGATTCCCTTTATTGAATGACTCTCGGCATAAAAGACGCTGCACGCGTTTCTCTCTTCGCAGTTAAAAGCAACAACAGTAAAAATATGAGTCGACGTGACGTGCGGCCATATTAATTTCTAGTGACCTGCCAGTCTGGCACGAGTATATCCAAGACTGCACACATGTAATAATATAAATAAAAGGCAATGTTTATATACGTGGAGCAGCGAGCGAGCGCACTGAATGGGAAAGAGTTTAATCGAGCATCAGGGTTCCACCTGTCATTAGGCTTCACGCTGCCCCAGCCACACCAGCCAGCCACACAAGGCCGTCCGCAGCTGTCCTCAATAACATAAACGAGGATGATTTTGAACCCCTCCTTGTGTACTTGCCCAATTTTCTCAAATATCCATATCTTTTAATAAAAATTCAATAATCAAAACAATTTTCCTTCTTGAAATTTTTTATCTAATCGGAACAAGATAATTTTTTTAATTTTATCATTGGCAATCACAAAAGTATAGTTAGTTTTCAAATAAATAACAAATCAAATTAATTCAGTTCATTAGGTGGAATTGAAATAATAAGAACCTGAACAAACTTTAAAGAAAATTCCTACCGTCAAAAAACGATTAAAACACTTATAAAACAGAGACCTTATTGTAATTTCCGCTATTATTAAAATGTAATCAAAACAGCAACACATGCAAACAAAATCGATTTCGCTGAATTCCAAGGCTTGAAAGTGAAAGACGACCTGACAACAAATTTGATTTTTACTCTGATGTGGTGAATTCGTCAGAATTATTAAAGGAAATAGTTTAATTTCCTAATAAGAGATTTTTTAATTCCAAATTTTATTTAGCTCCAATGATGAACGTAGAGGAAAATAATTCTTACCTTAAAATATATTTTTGCGTTTTGCTTTTACTCAAATTTCCAGAGACCTTTCTTTAGGAAATATTTTTTAATGTAAAACATAAACAAGCTTTATTTTTCCCTTGGAAGTGTGATGACATTTTATGTCGCAGTAGGAAAATTGGTTGTTATATGCTTGTTTTTCAAAACCCCTTATTAGATACAAAAATATAAGCATTATCTGTATAGTGATTCGCCGCCAACTTTTGCTGCTGCTTTTGCTGATGGTGGTTTTGCGGTTTCCTGTTGATCAAATAAAGCGCCTTGCTTTTATTACTGAAACTCTTTGGCGGTTCTGTCTGTCTGTTTGACACTCGCAAAATTCAAGTAAAATCGAACTCACTTGGCTTTTTCGCCGAGTGGCGGCGGCGGCTTGTTTGGCCACGAGGAGGAAAACGTAAATAAAATAATGCGGTCGACGTCTGGCTCTGCTTTGCTGCTCTCTCCCAGGGACCAGGGAGCGGACGCGAGAAATTCGTGCCGCTTATAAACAGCAAAGCTGATATGGATTTTCAGTGAAATCCGCACAAATGCGTTTGACATAAATCAACGAATCATACTTCGTCGCAAGTGAAAACTTAAAACGCTCGCAATTAGAGAAAATCGACTCACAAAGATTAAAAGGTAAAAGACAGATTTATGCGACATGATTACAGACTTTATCTCGGCAGAGTGATTTTTTTGCATATTTCAATGAAGAGGTTGATTTGCATATTGGAAACATAAATCTGAAATTTATGATATTTTACTTTTAGTAAGAAAAGTTGGCTCATGGAAAAGTCTATTGAAAAACGGGCGATCTGTCCTGGTTACAGAATTGCGTTTATTTACAAAAAAAGGCTCTGCTGCGCAGTTTCAAAATTTTGGTCACTGCGTCAATGATTTACGAGGAAATAAATTAACAAACGTAATCTTGTTTGATAATGTGGGTCTTCGTTGCAAAATGGATGAAGAGCTTATGTTATTTTGAGTATTATTATTGCTAATTTTTTAATCTCTTATATTCAAATCCCAAATTGCGGTGGGATAAAGTTGTTATGACAATAAGTAATAAGCAAGTATTTTTATTTCTCAGATAGAGTTGTAAGTGTACGTGTGTGTGTGTGTGTGTTTATGTTCTAATTAGTGCAGAGTAGTGTCTTTGTTTGTGTTGTAAAGTGTAAAGCAATATTAATTTTTGAGCCATTTTAAAAATTAATTTCTCAATTAAGAAGTAATTTTTCAATTAAAAGTAAAAAATTTAAGTTTGCATTCCATTCTGTAAAGGCAAGTTTTTCTCGCACAGTTTCAGTAAAACCACGTGAAAACCCTCTTAAAAAAGGATTTTTATGTTTAGAAATCAACTATTTTAATTTTTTATTTACCATTATTTAACTCACATAATATTAATCAAATTAATGAAATTGCACATTAGGTAAAAAAAAGATCATACTATCTGCGCCTTTCTAAATAAAAGTTTTATCCAAGAAGACACCCCCCGTCCTGTCCTCTTTCATCAGGTAAAAATTTTATAGGTCAAGTCAACAACTACAGGTCCCAGAGAGGCTTGTTTCAGAATTGAAATTTATGGCAGGCAGGTATGAACAGGCATTAAATTTTACAACAGTTGCTCGTTGAAATATCTAGGCCTTCGCAAGCAAACTTGGCAAGCCAGGGTCTATGAGAGGAGAATAGGCAGGCGTGTTTATTGCACCAAACAAGGAGCGCAATTGTGCGTTTGAAAGAAGAAATCAGTGGGCAGATGTGGAGAGGAAGGTTGCTCAGGTAAAGAGAGCTGCTGCTGGTTTATTGTTATTTTCCTCTCCGATGCCCACAGGTATATGAAAAACACGTTTCTGCTGAAAACAGACTGCTGCTTCACAGCGCGGTGGTTTGTGTTTTTTTTTCTTCTATACGTGAATGTTGGTGACCATGAATTTCTCATTGCTATCGCCGGCACGAATATCATTATTAGCGGCGGCGGCGGCGTTTGTTTAGACAAAAGAAATTTATAAGCGGCCTTTTATTGACCGAGCGAGCCTCCCCGTGTTATTTCGTTTTCATTTTATTCGTCCGCCGACTTGCTCAACTCGCGGTGCAGGCCAAGTTGAGCTGCTGCATCCTCTTTTGATGACGTGACTCAAATTATTTTGCATCTAATTGCTTGTAGATGCAGCTCGGTTAATATACTCGCCGCCTTAAATGCGTCGCTTCCGACGATCACACGCAGAAATTCTCAGTAGGAAATTTGGGTTAATTATGACAAAAAATTATCAGGGGAAGTTTGTGGAAAATAATGTTTAAATTTGAAAGAAAATTTTGAATTATTAAACACAATTTTAGAGGTTTTACTAAAAACATACAATAAAAAGTTTGGATAAACTCTTTGCGACCTCTTTTTCTTCAAGCATAACTGAAAATTTAATCTTTTCACTCTATACCACATCAAAATGAAAATATTTTTCAATATTTTGAAGCATCTCAACTGTATTATGTGACTTAAATAGATTTTTTTTTTAAATTTACTGTTAAGTGAGATCTGATTATATTAATAAATAGACATTTCTCTTTTAAAAATTGACGTAATAATTTAATTCTTACTTTATTATTATTTTTCATCAAATTGGATTTTTGATCGCAATTTAATAATCTATTAAAATTTCATTTTTGGAGGAAGGAAAATTAAGCTATTTGCTTAAATAAGCTTTTCAAAACAACAGTTGCGTGGATCACAAACATGAAAAAATAAATTCGAAATTAAAAAAAAAAAATATGTAATCATGCAGTAAATTGAATAATTATTTTCTCCATTCATATGAAGATATTGTAGATTAGAGCTTGCCTTCCGCAAGCTCAAAAATGGGCACAGGTCGATAAGACACTTTGTCTTGGCCTGAGCAAAAAAAAACTTTTTGATTTTTTCAATTAAAATCTAAAATTTCGCAGTCAATTCAAAAATTACTCCGGACTTCTCATAATATTGTTTCCGCAGCAGTCTGCTGCCGATAAAAATTTATCAGGATTTCTTTTCATGTAATAATTTCCGCTTATTCCGACTGACTATATATATGAGAGTCAATCAAACCGGGAAAACGCACTTAAGTGCGACGTGCATGTTTAATGCATGAAGCTCGCGGCGGCAGCAAACAACTGCAGTGAGCATAAATTGCATTCGCAATGAGCAAAATCTCCATGCAGGCCAGACGGAATATACGATGGCAGAGGACGAGCCGCTTTTAGATCGCTCGGCCGTGAGAACAGAGTTTCATTCAAAAGGCTTCGGAGGAAGCGACGTGCAAAAAACAGCAACAACGACTAACTTGAAGAAATGTTGCAAAAAAACCGCATTTTATTAAAACAAAATTCAGAGTTATGAAATTTCCCCAATTTCTTGCACCTTACTTATTTAAAATTTTTCTATAGATATTAAATCCCATACTTATATATTCAACAGTAAAAAGAGTTGAAATTTAAAATAACGAAAAAAATAAATTTATTCTGTTCATATAGCTGAAAACGTGATGGAACTCGATTCTAGTTTTGACTTCTAATTCCGGTTTCTTGTTAAAAAATTTAAATAATATATTTAGCATAATTAACATATTGCTTTGTGTGGCAAAAAAATATGTATTAAGAATTTTTTTTTTTTTTTTTTTTGCAAGAGACTTAATTTTTTCCTTCTCTATCAATTACCACCTTGATTTGGGGTATTAATTGCAAAGGATTTTGTACTCACCAGCAGCAGGAGATGGTCAGGGTTCAGGGACCGCAGCACTTGGCTGACCTGCAGCAAAAGCATATAATATTAGATAATTGCATTTGAGCACGCAGTGCCCATTTGCATGTTATTAGGTCACCTCGTCCGTGTTGTGCACCCGGTCCACGGCGTACCGCTGTCTCCACTCGTCGTTGCTCGCAATCGGACCCATCACCACGTCATAGTCCTCCGGAAGCCGAGGGGCGAACAGGATCGTCTCGCCGCTGCCCACCACGATCGCTCCGTAAAAGCCCGGCTCGAGTACGCCGAAAGCCCAGTGGAAAAATGACTCCTGAAATGAAAACAAGAAAAATAATTTTAAATTTGATATTTCATAGGAAAAAAATGTACATGCATGAAAGCAAAAGCGACAAGATAGTTGAAAGTGTTGAAACCTAAATGAATTTGATTTTCATTGATTTTTTTTCTCTAAAATTTTGGTTTCTCCAATGTGAGATTTGAAAATAAAAACATGGACTGCAAAAACAGCTGTTTAAAACCGATTAAAAAAGAGCTTGAATTTCAAGTCCAGAAAAACTGCAGGGCCAATTCTCCTTTTGAAAAGAATCTGCTGGACTTTGTTTATAGAAATTCTCGCAGCTGGCAAAGTATTAACGCATTTCTTAATTTCAAAATGAAAAACTTATTAAAGTTATAATCCAATTTTAGATAATATTGTTCCCCCTTGAAAATCTTAAATATACCAAATTCCCTTGCTTTTTTATAACTAAATTTACCGAATTGTGTGTGCCAGTGAAATAATAATAATTGGATAATTTAAATATCCAACTCAATTTATTTATTTTGATTCTAAATTTTAGAACTAAATGAAACACTTGAACGGGGGTTTCAATTAATTTTAGTTTGTCTGATTTTATTACAATTTTAATCCTGCCCTCTAATATTATTTAATTCTATAATTATTTGAAGTTAATAACTTTCAGAACTTTTTGATTAAATAAAATAACTTTTACTCAAAGTTACAATTAACTGCGGTCATACAATGCATGTAATTCTCGCCAAGTGACCCATTTGAGACCGTTTTTACAGCGACTATATAATAACACAACAACAGAGCACTCTAGTACAATAATCCTCTCGGTCTAAAGGTCAGGCCGATTCTACATAATTGAGCAACAACTCGGCAGTGCATGCATAGTAAAGTATTAAGTGAGTCTGTCCGTCTATATTTATATAATTCTTTCTACCCCAGCAGCATAACAACCACACGCATCCATGACACTATGCTACAACTTTTTTTGTAAATATAAATGTATAAAAAGAATATGGCTGCGTTACAGACCGACAAATAATTCCATGTGAGCTGCTCTCTTTCCAGTCTATAAATGACTGCCGCATGTGTTACTCGGAGCGAATAAACGTGTCAATTATACACGGCGATGTTTCTGTGAAGTAATGCTCGTAACTCATAAATATACACATTACATGGTACCGACGCCGTTTAGGTCAAGTTTTTTCTCCTACAAGGAGAAAATGAGTTCTGCGGATGGAGCAGCGTATATTTCAAATTAATTTGTGCTTTGGTTGAAATTGTGCAACGGCCATTATCCAATAACCATAAATTACAAATTAAATTATCATGGTATGACATTAAATTTAATATCAAAGTGATTTTCAATTCAATTGCTATAGGCATTTTTTTTCATTAGAAAATATTGACACTCTCCAAATATTCAAACGACAAATTGTTGACTATTTATAAACCTATTTAATAAAATTGTAATTAATTCATTGGCATAAAAATTCTTTTATAAGATTATAAAAAATTAAACGCGCTGTAATTTATTTCATTACCTCAAATTTGATCACATTTTTAATATTTTTTCACGTTTAAATGCATTATATTAATTATTCTTTATTTTCTTATATCTTCATTTATTTTTTCAAAAAAACTAAAAGCAAAGGACATAATTTCGATTGATCGTACGTTTAATTTTGGTTGATTCAAACAGGAAACAAATTAACAGTGACTTTATTATGTTTGAACTCTTGAATTTTTTCCTCGATTTTCAAGCAGCCCTAATGACTTTGTAATGATGCAAGCCGGTTGTAAAACTCTCAAAGAGAAATCTGCACAAGTGTCGGCGAAGAGGAGATGCTCATCTCTCTCATGTGTGTGCACCGAAATGGCTAAGTAAGATGCAAAGTGAAACAACGTGTCGGTCGTTCTGCTTTAATGCACAGAATTGAAAAAGGGTTCATCCAGCAGTTAATGCGCGCCTGTGCTTTATTTTATTGATCTGGGCGGCCGAGAGTCGCAAGCTTTTATATTTTGCTCGTCGTCGCGTAGCACGGCCTGTAAGGAGCTCCTTCAACTTATTGAATTTCGCCTCTCTCACATCAATCAGGACGAGCCGAGCAGGGACAGTTTTGATCCCCGCGGCTAATCATGTGACGCGAGAGAGATCCAGTTCGGTCGCATGACTAAGCGATTGATGCAGCTGCCGCGTGATCGCCAAACTTTGCAACAAATAATCAAATAATTATCTTGTTATTGCAGAACATCAGGGAATCGGAGATAAAACTATACGACGAAGCAGGAAATGATGCAGATTTTGCAATGCAAAATTAATGCAATTATTTTATTTCACTGTTGTTGATACGGTTAGAGGTCTGAAGATCCCCAAAGGAAATGTGACATGGTACGGATAATTCTATTATTCAATAGCAGATTATGAAATAAAAGTAAAGTATTCAGGGGAAAATATATTTTTGCACATAATTATTTAAATAAATTCAAGTATTTTGCATTAAAAGTTAAAATCAACATATTTGATTCACGAAAATTTTCAAGAATCAGCTTGATAAGTAACCGCTTGAAAAATCAATTTTCCAATAAACCCTTCCTTTTCAAATTTACTTCATGTATCGCGTTTTTTTATCCATTGGCAATTTGGCACTATATAGATCCAATAATAAATTTTACTATGCTTTTCATACAATCATTTTTTATAATGAAGAATTATGTAACACTTCTATATTTTAGACAGAAGGTGCTGCTTAATGCTAACGAGTCTTGTCAATTTTTAGCGCGATTGACGTCACAACCAGTTCCATTATTCCTCTTGTCCGTCCAAAATCCAATTCGATTCGGCTATCCCGCAGCTTCTTTTTTAAACAGAATCGCTAATTTCTCTTAGCGCGATCAAAACAAACTGTGCGCTCCTTTTTTACAATTTGCATTCACAACAATTAGAAAAAACGGATATAATGACTGGGGAGCGAGACGCATGCAGAATTAAATTTCCATTTTCTCGCGTGCAGCTAGGAAAGGTGCGGTGAGTGGCATTCTTTGATTGTCCCCTCCGCGATCGAACTTTTTCCTCTCGCTCACTGCAAAACAGCATAATCAGCACAGCCGCTAACTGCAAACTTGGCTCTGCGCCTCTCTTCCTCCGCGCGATATTTTTAAGGCTGTGCACACCATGTGTCAATGGTCTCCGCTCGCTGTTGTGCCTCTACACGTGTCGTGCTATTCGCGCGCGCCATATGCTCAGCCTTGCCGTTTCAACGAACGAAATTTGGACGCGTAATTTGGCGGAAATATTTAATTTCATCGCCACCAAATCAAGATGAATCATCTCAAATTGTGTTACGCTGAATTCAGAAGTAATTTAAAAAAATCTCGTTTCTCACAATTATATGTCATCTTTACTTCAAATAATTAAGATATTTATTTAGTTTATATTTTTGTTTAAATGGTTTCTGGTTTGATAAAGTCATCACTAATAATTGTGAATAAACTCTAATATATTATTTATTGTGTATTTGTTTGCTTTTTTTTTTAATAGTTAAATCATTGCAAATACTTATTCTCATCATTTTCCTATCTTTTACAATAAAAGTTGAAACGAATTTTGGTTTGTTTTTTAAGAGAACAATGCGATATTTTTATGCCCATTTTTTTAAATGAAGTTTTACTTCGATTTTTTTACTTTGAGAGGGTAATTTTTGAGATATTTTATTAATTTCGGTAATAATGGAATTTTTTATAAAATAAATGTATTCTAGTGGCAAGTTTCATGTCTGCCAAAATTGAAAATATAAATAAATAATTCAGAATGATAAACAATGGAACCCAATGCCACATTTCAGCTACAAGAGAAGCTTCTCTATTAAGATATCTTTTTTATTACCCTAATTGAACAAAAATAATATCACGAAGGATAAGTAAAATTAAAAAAAAAAGATATTTAATCAAATATAAATAAGGAGGCAAATTTTAATCCGATTGTTGATATCAATCAGAATATTTCAAATATTTTTCATTATGCATTAATTATCTTTGCTTCTGCTTACTTAAATGCTCTGGTGCCCGTTTTAACTGTAACTTGAGAATGAGGAAACATTGGGCAAATGAATTTCAATCCCTTAGAGCCATGTTCCGCTTTAAATTACAAACAAACAAGCAGGAAAGTTCAAGTTAAAAATCTCAGTGAGTGTATTAATAATACGTCGCGGCCTAAAAAGCCGACAGCTCACACACGCAAAAAGCCTGGGTAGAATTTTCGCGATTCCGAGCTCCAACAACAACCGTTTTAAGCTCCGACGCTTAATAGGTTAATTGGATTGAACGAGACTGAAGTCACAATGTCGCATGCATAATTGATTACTTGAAAATTTTGGACAAATGTCTACGAAAATACTTATTCTGATGCAAAAAAAAAAAAAACAAGATAAAATTCGGGAATTTTAGAAAACTCTTAAAATGCAATGTTATTTTAAAAATGTTGAAATTATATAATAATATGCAGAAATAAATTATCATCAATCTCACATTTCAACGGTCGACTTTCAGCTGTAATGTGATTTGAAAAAATCCACGTTTTTTCCCTTTTCAGCATAATTAAAGCAAATTTCCATTTTTCAATTTGCAAGGATTACTTTACTTAACTTAAGAGGCCAAAATTAGTGACATCAGGATGAAAATTTAATTTTCATTAATATTTTAATGATTAAAAGCTTGTTTATAGATTTGATCAGCAATCAAGGTGAGCTAATCGACCATTTACTTCAGAAAACTAATCTCACTTCCTGCATCTCAAAATAAACTTGTTTAATGTAAATAGCGCAATATGCGAACAATACACGCCGCTGCTCTCATTGCTGCTATTTTCTCTTGAGCCAGCGGCGCAGGCAGGTTTGCCACGTTTAATAATAAACAATAACAAAACTCATTGGCGCATGTAAATAAAACGTTGCAACATTTCCCGCTTTTTACATTCAGCCGACGACTGCTGCCTCTTTCTTTCTTTTTCTCGCGACAAGGAA